TGATCTACTGCTTATGGAGCAAGGCGAATAAATTTGCTTTATGATTATTTAGCCCTCCTTTTTTATTCCCTTAAAGGAAATAACAATAGGAATAGAAGTTAGACTTATATACCGCTTCACAGTGCTTTTACAGCCCTCTCTAAGCGGTTTACAGAGTCAGCCTCTTGCCTCCCCAACAATCTGGGTCCTCATTTTTACCCACCTCGGAAGGATGGAAGGCAGCAAGAATAAATAACCTAATTTAGCATTTCTCAATCTTGGCAGCTTTGAAGACAGGTGGACTTCAACTCCCAGGATTCCCCAGCCAGCTATATGCTAATTCAGCGTTTCTCAGCTTTGGCAGCTTGGCAGATTCTGGGAGTTGAAGTCCGCCCGCCTTCAAGCTGCCAAGGTTGAAAAACACGGCACTAAGTCTATATTATATATATATATAATTATATATAATTATATATATTCGTCAGGCCCTTAAAACCTATTTTTTTCAGTTAGCCGGGCTGTCCTGATTTTATGGTTGGTTTTTAAAGTTTTGATACTGATTTTAATTGAAATGTTTTAAATTATGGGCCAAACCTTATTTAATTATTTTAAACCTATTTTAACTTTTGTGTACAGATGTTTTATTTTGGCTGTTCACGGCCCTGAGTCCGAAAGGAGAAGGGCGGTATAGAAATTTGAAAAAATAAATAAGATAAAATATTATAATAATCAACTTCCCCAAAAGTCCCGAATGCAGCCCTTAAAAGATCCCTTCCTGGGGAAGTTGGCGCAGAGCTGATTTCCTTACCCTTTGTCCCCCATACAAAAAAAGGAACACAACTCAACCAAAGTTTAACACAACTTCTTTTTTTTTTTTTTCCCTTACCCTTTGCATCCCTTATAAATACGAACGCAGCTCGTCGCCTAACTTTGCAAGTCATCGCGTAAATCGCGAAAGCATCCAAAATGAGGGGTGCTCTACCCCCACCTCAACAGGACTGCTTATTTAGAGGGGGGCTTATTTCCTCTACACCCCACCCCAAATTCATCTCTTCCTGAGACCCGAGGTTTCTAGGCCAACCTCGTTTGGTGGCCTGGCAATTGTATAACCCGTTGGACTGAAAATCCGTAAGTTAAAACCACTAATCAGATCTGACGGTGAGATTATTGCAAAGGCGAGCGAGGCTGGCATCCGTGGTTACATCATCTCCTTTTGTTTATACTGGGGGGGGCAGGATGGGGGGAGAAATTCAGCCCCTTTGATCTCTTCCTGGAGAGTTCAGTTGCAGTTTGGTTGCAGAAAGGAAACACACGGTTTTCCCAGCCCTGTTTTCTATAAAGATATATACGAAATATCTTTTTTTTTAAAAAAAAAACACCTTTAATTTCTCTCTCTCTTCCCCCGCCGGTCTAGCTAATTAAATACGTTTTAAAGGAACAAAAGAGCCTCTTTTTTTTTTCATTTTATGAGTGTGTCCTGCAAAAGCAATTTGAAATAATCGACCACAGTTTTTTTCCAGGTGCTTTAGAAACGGCCTCTCCGTCGATGCAAATCTGGATTAACCCACTGGCTTCCCCCCCCTCCCTCTCTTGCGTAGCTGCCAGCGGCTGTGTTGATTGTCCATTTCCGAAGAAACACACAAACACATACACACCTCGTGCACGCACCATAGAAGGTCAGGACTTTTTTCCACTCCCATCCGTTGCGTGTCCACCCCAATCTGTATAAATCGTCTTAAAGACGCAGGCGCCGAGATGGGTTTTAGTAAACCCTACGTTGACTAAAACGTTCTTGGCAAGGGAAGGGGTTACTAAGCCCTTCTTGGCAAGGGAAGAAGGGGGGCATGGAAGAAGGGTGGATTTTCTCTTGGTTGGGCAGGTTGCCAAGTGCCCGAATTTTGATCGCTGGGATTGGGAGTGGGGGGCGCACTGCAAGGATCATAAGTCACATTTCCCCCCCCCCCCCGTGCCGTTGTAACGTCAAACATCAGTCTACCTGTATTGGCTGAAACTGTGTGATGAATAGAAGCGTAGTGTGTTTGCGCTCTTGGTTTTTTACAAAGGGGCTCATCTGACAGATACTATTTTCCTTTTTTTTTTAAATTGATTTTTATTATAACATATAGTGATACATTCGGTACATTTTCGGTTCATTGGTGCAATTATATACATATATACATCTACATGCATTATTACTTGTCTTTTATTTAATATTGTTTCTTAAAGCTAGATTTGATTTCAAAACACTTAAAGATAATAGTGCTCAACTCTCTAAGACTAAATATAATAATATTCATATAGATTTTGTTAATTAATTAATATTTAATCTCTATTTCCTTCTTTATTTCTTTTCCCCATCCATTCGTTACTAAGATACTATTTTCCTATCGTTTCGGGCACCTTTCGGGCAGGGTGGCATGCGTTCCAGTCAGGGTGGATAAAAATTAATGATTTTTTTTTAAAATAAAAAAAAATCAGATTTTTTTTTTATTTAAATCGGATTTTTTTTATTTAAATCGGATTTTTTTTTATTTTTATCGAATTTATTTTAATAAAAAACTTTTGGGGTAAAAATCTATGGTAAGATAGTTTTCTATTTAAGATACATAAATAATTTAGTTTATTCCGCATGAAATGGAGCTTAGTTATGTAGCATGAGGCTGTATATTCTGCAACGCTGGGATTATCGGTGAGTCAACAGTGGGTCAAAGGAGTAGCAGAGATGACAGTTGCTCTTTAAAAAATTATGATTTAAATCGAGTTGATTTAAAACAAGCCTTTTTACTAGTGATTTAAATCATGATTTAAATTGTGATTTAAATCAACTCCATTTAAAACAAAACCACCCTGCTTCCAGTTCTCTCCTTGGTATATGACCTTATTTTCTCGTGGAAAAATAAAAGGAAAAATCTAAAAGACGGTCATTTTTCTTTCGTTTTTTTACATTTAGAACTTAGCTTTGCAAGAAAAAATTTAAGGGAAAAAATAAAGGACAAGCCTGGGAAAAAAAATCTGAAAGAGGACAATTTTTTCTTTCTTTCTTTTTTTTTTTTTAGTTGTTTTTATGTTTAGAACTTAGCTTTGCAAGAAAAACTTGAAGGGCAAACTTTTACAAAAAAAAGGCTTGTTCTAATAAAAAAAAATACTGAAAACATCGAAGGGCACATGATGCAAACTTGTTTATTTTGAAAGGGCAATTCCCCTCTTCACATGTTTCGCATGAATTTGAAAGAGCGCGCATTAAGTGGTACCATTTGCAGGAAAGGGCCCCGCGTAAAGGACAGAAGGGAGCTTTTTGCAAAATAAATAAATCTAAAGGACAGCGTTCCGAAATGAAAGGCTGACCTTTATAATAAAGACGGTATGGCCTCTGGCTCGTCTTAAAAGGGATCTAGAAAACGGGCCCCATCTCTGACACGTATCCTGCCCTCCTGGGGTTCCAGAAAGACCTTAAAACTTCGCTTTTGGAGAGGAATGTAGTTTAGGGCAGGGGTCTCCAACCTTGGCAACTTTTAAGACTTGTGGACTTCAATTCCCAGAATTCCTCAGCCTCAGAATTCCTCAGAATTCTGGGAGTTGAAGTCCACAAGTCTTAAAGTTGCCAAGGTTGGAGACCCCTGATCTAAAGACCCAGCAAAGCTGGCTGAGGAATTCTGGGAGTTGAAGCCCACAAGTCTTAAAAGTTGCCAAGGTTGGAGACCCCAGATCTAAAGACCCAGCAAAGCTGGCTGAGGAATTCTGGGAGTTGAAGCCCACAAGTCTTAAAAGTTGCCAAGGTTGGAGACCCCAGATCTAAAGACCCAGCAAAGCTGGCTGAGGAATTCTGGGAGTTGAAGCCCACAAGTCTTAAAAGTTGCCAAGGTTGGAGATCCCTGGTTTAGGGAATATAGTTTTGGAGGGGTGGGGAGTGTAGTTCAGAAAAATAATAATAATAACCTTATAAACAGGTGTGAGAACATAACCGAAAGCCCTTCCTTAGGACTTCAGTTCTAGCCTCAGATGCCTCTTCCTGTTTGTGATTTTTCACCCAGAGCATAGTTGCCCTATCAGAAAATGGAAGGAGGAAGTTCCTGCAGGGTAAGGCCAGGACATCTGGCGATGTCTTACTTGACTGCTGTCCCGAGCTTTGCAAAAAAAAAAAAAAATTAATAATCAAAAGAAAAAGACCTCACTTCACTTTTCGCAGAAGCAGGAGGTCTCGAATCCTGAACCTTGTGAGAAAATGTACCAGATGGCTGGGTTAGCCTTGACTTCCTGCCAACCTGTACGGCGTTAAGGAGGGCTGAAAGCATTGAAGTCTTTCTCCCTCTCTCCCCCTCTCCCTCCTCTTTCCCTCTCTCCCTTAGTCTCTCCCTCTCTTTCTCTCCCTCCCTCTCTTTTTCTCTCTCCCTCTCCTTTTCTTTCTTTCCCTCTCTCTCTCCCTCTTTTTCTCTCTCTCCCTCCCCCTCTCTCTTTCTCTGTCCCTCCCTCCTTCTCTCTCTCTTTCTCCCTCCCTCCCTCCTTTTCTCTCTTTCTCTCTCCCTTCTCTCTCTTTCCCTCCTTCTCTTTCTCCCTCTCTCTTTTTCTCTCTCCCTCCCTCCCATTCACTCTCCCTCCCTCTCTCTCTCTTTCTCTCCCTCCCTTCCCCACACCCCACCCATTCCCAGGCACACGCAGAAAATTCCAGGTGGCCTCCAAGCAACACTTTGAGCCAGGACAGAATGTCCTAGGAAGGAAGAAAGGCCATTCGCTCTTCCAGGGAAGAATTGGCCGTGCCTCCTTTCTGTTTTCCATCAAGCCAGGCAGAGCAGGCAGCCCTGCATACAAATGCAGGAACTTCCACCTACCTATGAACTCTCCCAGCTCAAAGCATCCCCTCCTGTTGCCCCGTTACGAGATGCTGCCACGCTTGGCTTCCCAATTTGGGAGAGAGGAGAGACCCCCCCCCCCCCCTCCCCCCCCCAGGGACACCCCCACCCACCCCCAGAAGCACCTCCTGAGCTGCCTTCCGTCCAATTCACCTTTCGCCTTTCCTCTTTCCGCAGATTACCTGGCCAACCGGGGACGTTTGAGCGAGACGGATGCCAGGCGCAAATTCTGGCAGATCCTCTCAGCTGTGGAATATTGTCACGGCCGGAAGATCGTACACCGAGATCTCAAAGCCGAGAATCTCCTGCTCGATAACAACATGAATATTAAGATAGCAGGTATTTCAGACATCAATCACTTCCGCATGGAGTGTGGGGGTGTTTGTTTGTTTGTTTGTTTATTTATTTATTTATAGAATTTATTATCTATCTATCTATCTATCTATCTATCTATCTATCTATCTATCTATCTCTCAAGGTTGACTCAGCCTTCCATCCTTTCTAAGGTAGGTAAATTGAGGACCTGGATTGTGGGGGCAATAAGCTGACTTTGTATAAATATACAAAAGTATGAAGGCTATTGCTTAGCGCATTGCAAGCCGCCCTGAATCTCCGGAGAAGGGCGGCATATAAATCAAAAAACAAACTATATACATACATACATACATACATACATACATACATACATACATACATACATATAAAATTAAAAACAATAGCCCACCCCCCATCCTACTTGCACTCATGTGTATTAGATAAAATTGGCCCTAAAGTCTTGCTAAAAATTGCTCCTGCATGACCTTTCCCCCCTCTTCTTGGCCAAATCACAATCATTTTGAACGTTGCGGAGTTTTACTCCTGTTTGCAGTGCCGTAGCAACCCCTACCACCTCCTGCCAGATGTGTAGGTTACAATCAAATTAATTAATTTGGGGAGGGTGGGTTAGAGCAGCAGCAACTCAAAAATGGAAACTCTCGGGTTATTTTAGCACGCTTGATTCCGTTTTAATTACAAATTTAAATACAGCAGATGTTTGCCGCAGTAGGATAATTTCCCTTTCTGACTCTGTATAATGCAAAGGGTTCTTGGATTGCCCGACTAGAATTTTAATTTTTTTTTTTTGAGAGGAACGAGAAGCGGGGAGATGTTTGAGCTTCTCGAGTGTTTTGTAACGCTGTCAAGTTCTTGGAAGAAATGATCTCTTGCAACTTTGGCAGAGAGCGTTTGGTTCCAAGAAGGAGGAACTCAGAATTGCGGGCATTGAGTTCCAGAGGGGTTGACAGCAATAGGGAAGCGGGAATGGATGCTGAAATGACTTCAGAGCAGCTGGCATTAGTAACGGAGGTCATCTATTATTGTAGTTTAATTTTGCATCTGGGGTAGTTTGAATGGAGAGAGAACCACGATCTGGAAAATAAACCTTGGTGGTTCCCAGTTGAGTTTTGATAAAATATTGTCCCTTCTACTTGCTTGTAAAGGACCATCTTATGCTGTTAAAAGGTTTCGATATTTTTGCAACTCTTGGCTGGTACTTACTATGTTTCCCCAAAAATAAGACCGGGTCTTAATATAATTTTTGCTCCAAAAGATGCATTAGGGCTTATTTTCTGGTTAGGTCTTAATTTTGGGGGAAATACGGTACTAAATGCACCCATCAGGGAACATCTTCAGTGCTAGAAGGGAGGGGGAAGAAGGAGAAGAGGAAGGAGAAGAAGGAAGGAAGAAAGAAGGAAGGAAGGAAGGAAGGAAGGAAGGAAGGAAGGAAGACAGACTGTGGGGTCTTTGGTGCTCTCTGAGCTTGGTTTTCCTGCAGACGTTTCATGACCCAACTAGGGAACATCTTCAGCGCTAGAAGGGGGGGGAAGGAAGGGAAAAGGAAGGAAGGAAGGAAGGAAGGAAGGAAGGAAGGAAGAAGAAAGAAAGAAAGAAAGAAAGAAAGAAAGAAAGAAAGAAAGAAAGAAAGAAAGAAAGAAAAAGAAAGAAAGAAAGAAAGAAGACAGACTGTGGGGTCTTTGGTGCTCTCTGAGCTTGGTTTTCTTACAGACATTTCATGACCCAACTAGGAACATCTTCAGTGCTAGAAGGGAGGAGGGTTTGTGGAAAGGAGGAGGAGGACTGAAGGGTCCTTGGTGCTCTCTGAGCCTGGTTGTTTTCTTGCAGACATTTCATGACCCAAGTAGGGAACATCATCAGTGCCAGAAGGAAGGGGAATTTATATACAAGGGCCTTTTAGTGCTGATTCTGTTAGCAGGTCAGGAAATGAAACATCCGAGAGAGCACCAAGAACCCCACAGTTCTGTGGCATTTACCCATCCGGTTCTCCTGAAATTCACCAGAGATCAGATGCACGTTCACCCAAATACACACACACACACACACACACACACAAGGCATTTGACCCAGGAAGGAAGGGATTGGTTGCAAAAAAAACCACCGCCTCTCTGTACTTCGTGCCCCAGAAATCAGGGCAGCCTCTTTAGAAAGAAAGCCTCGATTTACAAGCTAACACCGCCGGGTGACTCTTTGACAGCAGCGTGCGAAAGAACAGACTGCCGAGACAAATGAAACTGCACACACTTCCATGTCTCCTGGAGGCTTTCCCACCAAGGACTGTGCTGGCGCTAGTTCGAATCCACACCCCTCCCTCCCCTCCCTCTGGCTGCCTCGTTGCCGGAGGCTGACTGGGCAGGTGACGTTAACTCGTGAAAGAGGAGAAACAGGTCCTTCTGGTTCCTCCATTGTCTCCTCTACCCTTCACACTTGGCTCCTTCTTCGCTCAGAAGTTCTGCCCTTTTCAGCCACCAATTTAATTTAATTTTATTTATTTTTTTTTTGCAATGCTCGGGCCTTTCAGGAGGTGGGGATTTCAACCCTTCCTTGGAAGATGTGTGTGTGTGTGTGTGTGTGTGTGAATGGATTGGAGCAACAACCTATATATTTGGGAAACCAGAAATTGCTCCATTCGGTCAGGCTGATCCACAGCTTCCACGTTGGCCCTTTCAAATTGTATTTATTTTTATTGTATGTATTTATTTATTTTCGTCACACACGTATTAGATAACACAGAGGTCTTCGAACGTGGCAGCTTTAAGACTTGTGGACTTCAACTCCCAGAGTTGAAGTTAACGAATTAAAGCTGCCAAGTTTGAAGACCTCTGGCATAGATAGATAGATAGATAGATAGATAGATAGATAGATAGATAGATAGATAGATAGATAGATAGTCTCTAGAAAGAGTGCAGGGAAGAGCAACCAAGATGATTAGGGGACTGGAGGCTAAAACATACGATGAATGGTTGCAGAAACCTATCTGTCTATCTATCCATCTTCTATCTATTTATCCATCCATCTTCTATATCTACCTACCTACCTATCTACCTACCTACCTATCTTATCTATCTATCTATCTATCTATCCATCTTCTATATCTACCTACCTACCTACCTTATCTATCTATCTATCTATCTATCCATCCATCCATCCATCCATCCATCCATCCATCCATCTTCTATATCTACCTTCCTATCTACCTCTCTTACCTATCTATGTATCTATTTATCTATCTATCTATCCATCCATCCATCCATCCATCCATCTTCTATATCTACCTTCCTATCTACCTATCTTACCTATCTATGTATCTATTTATCTATCTATCTATCCATCCATCTTCTATACCTACTTACCTATCTACCTACCTACCTATCTTATCTATCTATCTTATCTATCTACCTACCTACCTATCTATACCAGAGGTCTTCAAACTTGGCAGCTTTAAGGCTTGTGGACTTCAACTCCCAGAATTCTGGGAGTTGAAGTCCACAAGTCTTAAAGCTGCCAAGTTTGAAGACCTCTGAGATAACAGATATAAGTACAAACATGATTGTGAATCCGTGAAATGGATATTTGGAGAGGTCAAACCAGGCAGGGGGGAAGAAGACGAAGCAGAGGGAGGAGAGGTCCAGTCGGCCTCCAGCCAAGCCTGATGCCAGGTGATTTCCTCAGGTGTCCCAGGCAGTTTCTTAGCAACGGTGGAACAGTGCAGGGTTTTTGTTTTTTTTTTCATCCCCAGATGTTTGTTTTTTTTCAACTTCCCCATCTAAGCTGCCACGGGTCGCCTCCTTTCGAAATGCCAACTGGAGTCGGCTGAGCTTTTTGAATCAAATAGCAAAGGCGGGGGGGGGTGTCTCCTAAAACTTCATTTTTAGACTCCCCCTGGGGGTCGCCAGTCGACACTGTCTAACCGACAGTGGCACCCTGAGGAGACCCTCTCTGTGGGAGCGTACTGGTCGGTGGGAGGCTATCGGAGGCAGAAGGCAGTCTCGTAGTTATCGATGTCCTAGAAGAACTGAAGAAGCTTCTTGGATGAAGAAACGAAACGTTTTCAAAGAAAAAGACCAAGGAAGTCCAGTTGCCTTTTTAGAAAGGAAGAAAAAAAAACCCAAAACACCCATTTCCAGTCTCCAGCGGTCACACAGGTTGAGACTTCCAAGAACATTACATTTTTCGTAGAAGTTTAAGCAAAAACGTTTAAGTGATATGTAAGGGACATTGAATTTGACTCCTGGGGTTAGAGACTGCTGTATTCTACATATATGTTCTGAGCTAGGCTTCCCAAGAACATGAAGTAGGCTCTTTGTCCCGACAAAAACCCCTTTTTATTAAGTGACTGTGAATTCCTCTCATTCACATCCAGCCAAGTCTTTCAAGGGTGAATTTTACAGTCACAGACCTTGTCTGGCTTGGAGAGCTGCCAGGCCGATATCTTCAAAACTTGGCAAGGAGTCTCGGAGAGTCACGAACCGATTAAGTGAACTAATTGTCTCTTGCAAACTCCCCCTTCCCCTTTTGCTCCTCTTTTATTCCCTATGGGAGGGGCCGTTCACCGTTCACCTGTGGCTTTACTCCTGAGTCGACCCTTCTTCCTTAGCTGTTCCCTTTTCCTAGCAGCTCTGAGCATGCGCACAATGGGAACAGGCTCCAGCTGTTCCTCTGCCCCACTGATGTCCGACTCCGAAGGCAGCTGACAACTATCAGACGGCCCTGGCCCCCTCTCTGCCTCCGACGCAGAGCCCTCATTAGAGCCCTCCCCAGGCTCCAGGACTGGCCCATGTTCCTCCCCAACCTCCTCACTGTCCGAATCTGCTACCAGTTCCGCTGGCTGCTGGCACCCATGAGAAATCATCTTCCGCTTGTGTTTTCTTGACCTAGCCAGGTAGAACAGCAGTATCTCTTGTCCATCTGGTGATTTTTTCTTCTTCTTCTTCTTCCTCCTCCTCTGCAGATTTTGGGTTTGGAAACTTCTACAAAAGCGGGGAGCCTCTGACCACGTGGTGCGGAAGTCCTCCTTACGCAGCTCCCGAGGTCTTCGAAGGCCAGCAGTACGAGGGGCCGCAGCTGGACATTTGGGTATCTGCATCATGTTAAACGGAGCACTTCCTTTTTCTTGAAACGCCCTGTTTCTTTTCTACATTTTGTTTTTCTGGCTTGCTAAAAATACCTCCTCCTTGTCGCAAGAAGGGAGCTTTGAGACCAAAAAGGGCTTCCCGTTGAAACCTGCAAGACTGGAAGCAGCTCAGCTGATGCAGAAAACGGACTCCAATTCTCCTCCTTTGTCTCTCTCTCTCTCTCTTTCTTTCTCTCTCTCTCTCTCTCATTTTCTCTGTCTTTCTCTCTCTCTCTCTCTCTCATTTTCTCTCTCCCTCTCATTTTCTCTCTTTTTTCCCTCCCCCCCTCTCTCATTTTCTCCGTCTTTCTCTCATTATCTCTCATTATCTCTCTCCCTCTCTCGTTATCTCTCTCATCTCTCTCTCTCATTTTCTCTCTCCCCCTCTCTCATTTTCTGTTTTTCTCTCATTATCTCTCACTCTCTCTCTCTCTCTCATTCTCTCTCTCCCTCTCTCATTTTCTATGTCTTTTTCTCATCTCTCTCTCATTATCTCTCTATCTCCCCCTCTCTCAGTCTCTCTCTCTCATTTTCTCTCTCTCCCTCTCATTTTCTGTCTTTCTCTCATTATCTCTCTCTCATTCTATCTCCCCCCTCTCTCTTTCTCTCTCCCCCTCTCATTTTCTCTGTCTTTCTCTCATTATCTCTCTATCTCCCTCTCTCTCTCTTTCTCTGTCTTTCTCTCCCTCATTATCTCTCCCTCCCTCATCCTCTCTCATTTTCTCTCTCTTTCTCTCTCTCATCCTGAATCTGGACCAAGCTGTGTTGGCGTGTCAACGCTGGGTTTAGCAGATTAAGTTCTTCCCCCTTGGGAGACCCCACCAGATTCTCAAAAGGCTGGAGGGATTTTTGGCTGCTAGCTTTCTAGGGGGAAGAAAGCTTGGCCTCATCCAAGCCCTCTGCTGCCTTCCTTCATGCAGCTCTTGAGGGAAAAGGAAACACGGGGGAGACCCCAGAGTCCCTCAGAGGACACCTAGCAGAGCCCAGGGCCTTATGAGGTTTTTTTTTTTTTTAATGCGTTCTGAGCCTCTCCTGGGATTAGCAGGGTTTCTGCGGATGCCTTTGCAGGCTCTTGTGGATTTGGAGGCAAAGTCTTCCACCCTTTTGGGTCACGCAAGGCGAGGGAAGAACAACACGAAGTGGTCTAGAGACTTGGCTTTCTTTCCAGCAGTGTTCAGCCTATCTGCTGATTGGTTGCAGGCCCGGACGGCGGATGTAGGGCGGGTCCCTTAAGGACCAAAGGCCATCTTTGAAGTTGGTCCATCGGAAGCAGGGCAGGGTCCCAACATCAGCGCCCGTCCTCTCCCACCCTGCTGGACCAGTGAGCCTGTTTTGTCCATCAGGGCTCTGTAATGAGGAGCAGCTCCCCCCTGCCCAGGGTTCCCTGCCCTTCACTTCCAAATAAATCCTCTGCGCACCCCAAGCAGGCTGACGAAAGCACCTCACGCTCTCCGCAAACGTGCCAAAACAACGGGGATTGATGGCAGGAGCTGTTGACTTGGCCGGGCTGCTAACGAAAACATCCTGCCTTGTGGATCCCAGAAGGAAAGAATGTGCCTTAGAGCACGGAGATCGGCGGGGCGGGGCCAGCTTTGCTGACAAAACCGGTCAATGTTTGCTCCCTAATGGTGCCTTTGATAGGAACCAGGGCTGGTCAGAGAAGTGCTCGGCCAGATGTTGTAAAATTGGGGAGGGAGGGAGGGAGGGAGAGAGGGAGGGAGGGAGGGAGGAAGGAAGGAGAGGAAAAATGGGAGGGAGGAAAGGAAGGAAGAGTAAAGGAGAGGAAAATGATAGGAGTGGGAGGGAGGGAGGGAGGGAGGGAGAAAGGAAAGAAGGAGATGGGAGTGGGGAGGAAGGAAGGAAAGAGGAGGAGGGAAGGAAAGAAGGAGATGGGAATGGGAGGGAGAGTGGAAGGAAGGAGAGGCAGAGAAGGAAAGGAAAAACGAGGGAGGGAGGAAAGGAAGGAAGGAGGAAGGGAAGGAAGGAGATGAGAATGGGTGGGAGAGAGGAAGGAAGGAAAGGAGGGAGAGAGTAAAGGAGAGGAAAAATGGGAGGGAGGAAAGGAAGGAAGAGTAAAGGAGAGGAAAACGATGGAAGTGGGAGGGAGGGAGGGAGAAGGAAAGGAAGGAGATGGGAGTGGGGAGGAAGGAAGGAGGAAAGAGGAGGAGGGAAGGAGGAAGGAGATGAGAATGGGTAGGAGAGAGGAAGGAGGGAAAGGGAGGGAGAGAGTAAGGAGAGGAAAAATGGGAAGGAGGAAAGGAAGGAAGAGTAAAGGAGAGGAAAATGATGGGAGTGGGAGGGAGGAGAAAGGGAGAAAGGAAAGGAAGGAGATGGGAGTGGGCAGGAAGGAAGGAAAGAGGAGGAGGGAAGGAAAGAAGGAGATGGGAATGGAGGGGAAGAGGAAGGAAGGAAAGGGGGAGAAGGAAAGGAAAAACGGGAGGGAGGGAGGAAGGGAAGGGAAGGGAGGAGGAAGGAAAGGAAGGAAGGAAATGGGAATGGAAGGAAAGAAAAGGAAGGAAGGAAACGAAACATGATACGATGACTACTGTGTATGGAACAGAGTTGCGCTGAAGGCATCTTGTGTCCCCTGATCTCAGATCACGCCATCCTCTTTTGCAGAGCATGGGCGTGGTCCTTTACGTCTTGGTTTGTGGCGCTTTGCCCTTCGACGGACCGACTCTCCCCATCCTGCGGCAGAGAGTTTTGGAAGGAAGGTTCCGCATCCCCTATTTCATGTCTGAAGGTACAGCTACTGCTGCTTTTGGGGTCTTTCCGCCTTTCTTCCCTGCAGACTGTCCTCGGCTATAGGTGACGGAGATGGGAAGGGAAGAGAAGTCCCCAAAGATCCGCTTTTTTTTTTTTTTTTTTGCCTTTGGACAACTCACTTTAGGGGCCGATTCTCTCCCTTATGATTGGTCCATTGTCCTCATAGTCAGATGATTGACATTCGAGCACTTTGCAACCAGTTTCCCCATGGCCACATCACCGTTTGCAGCCTTAACAACTGGTTTCCAACAAGCAGACGGACCACAACAGCTTCTCCGCTTCTCTAACGACAAGCCTATCTAATCCAAGTTTCATTTTTTTTCCTCCCCAAGCACAAAGTCCAGAAGTGGTTTCCAAGCAGAAACAAAATGAACTGTATTTTTTTTATTCTTTAATCAAAACAGTTGGTTTAGCCATCTTTGCTAACTCCCTCACCTTTTGCAGCCATTTGTCCATTGATGTTTCACTTAACAACCGTGTCATTTAGTGACGGAGTTGTTGATCCCAGTAGGGGCCATTAAGGGATGATTACCTGTATCAATGGCTTGTAATGTATAGATGATGTAATAATGGGTGAAATGTGAATAATAATTGTGTAGAATGTGAAGGATGTGTGTTTTTGTTTTATTTATTTTTTTATAGTTTTATTTTATTTTTATTTTTATTTTATTTTATATTGGATTTCTATACCGCCCTTCTCCCTGAGGACTCAGAGCGGTGTACAGCCAGATTAAAAAACATGCAGAACAAATATTAAAAACAATTAAAAGATATATAAATTTGGCCCAATTAAAACTCATTTACCAATTAAAAACGTTTAAAACATTTAAAAACAGTTAAAAATTTTCTTATATATGATGTACATTTAAGATGGCATTTAATTTCGTTGCAGTGCAGTGACAATAAAGTAAACTTAAACTTAATGGCACTAAAGTTTGGGTTACCTCTGATTGAAATTTCGTTTTAATACCCTGTTTCCCTGAAAATAAGACCTCCCCTGGTAATAAGCCCAGTCGGGCTTTTGAGCTCATGCGCTAAAATAAGCCTCCCCCCGAAAATAAGCCCTCCCCAAAAATACTTAAAACACAGAGCTGGAAATCAGATAAGACGGCAAGAGCAGCCCCATCTTGCTCCACGTGCCCCAAAATAATAAGACCTCTCCAAAAATAAGGCCAAGCACTTATTTCGGGGTTCAAAAGAATATAAAACAGGGTCTTATTTTCGGGGAAACACAGTATATGCCGATTAGTGTACATACAGAAGTGACAGTCAAGTTATTCTATTATTATATCTATTCTATATCGAGACGCTCCCCTTCCTGTATCCAACTCACTTTCTCATTTTTGGGGTCCGCGCAGAGTGCGAGCATCTCATCCGGAGGATGCTGGTTCTGGATCCATCCAAGAGACTGAGCATTGCTCAGATTAAGGAGCACAAGTGGATGCTAATGGAGGTTCCGGTCCAAAGACCCGCGCTCTATTCCCAGGGGCAAGAGAACGGACCTCCCATCGGAGAATACAACGAGCAAGTCCTGAGGTTGATGCACAGCCTGGGAATTGACCAGCAAAAGACCATTGAGGTAAAAACAATCTCCAGCATTAAGAAATGATTTAACTCAGGGTCCTCCAAAAGTGGCAGCTTTAAGACCTGTGGACTTCAACTCCCAGAATTCCCCCAGCCAGACCCATATTTCTCAACCTTGGCCACTGGAAGACATGCAGACTTCAACTTCAAAAGAGCCTTGATAGTACAGTGGTTTAATGCACCCTGTAATTAACACAGCTGCCTGCAATTTCTGCAGGTTCGAATCTCGCCAAGGCTCAAGGTTGACTCAGCCTTCCATCCTTTCTAAGGTAGGTGAAATGAGGACCCAGTTTGTGGAGGCAATAAGCTGACTTTGTATAAATATACAAAAGAATGAAGGCTATTGCTTAACGCATTGTAAGCCGCCCTGAGTCTCCGGAGAAGGGCGGCATATAAATCAAATTAAAAAAAAAAAATTAAAAAAAACTCCCAGAATTCCCCAACCAGCATGCTTTAAAAATAACTGGATTTCACGTCTGGCCAGGGAATTCTGGGAGTTGAAGTCCACAAGACTTAAAGCTGCCAAGTTTGGAGATTTCTGGTTTAATCTCTTGGATTATTGCTCTGCAAGCGCAAGACCTGATTTTTATTTCATTCTCAGGACTTTGGGGGAGATACTTCCAGCAGAGGGGCCTAAATACTTGCATTCATCATCTCCCTTTAACGACCCCATAATCTCTTGCCAGGGTGGAGTCTAGGCAACAAAATGGAGCTGAGTGTTTTAATGGCCGGATGCCCTTCCTCTCGCCAATGCGGAGTTTTGTTCAGCAGATATATTCTCATTGTGCCCAGAGAGAGAAATATCTGCCTCTACAATATTTGCATTGCTTTAGTAAAATAATTGCAGAATAAAAGTAATCCCGTTTACAGGGTAGTCCTGTAATTTGCAACCCTTTGTTTAGTGACCATTTGACTTTCATGGTCCTTGCACTTATGACCGACACAACTTTCGGTCACAGCATGATCAAAATTTGGGTGTTTGGGGCAACAGGCAGATATTACCATACTTGCGATGTCCTTTGGGATCCTTCCCAGATCACAAGCCAAGTCTTCCAACGAGCAGAGTCCGTGGGGGAAACTGGATCCGCTTAATGATCTCATGTCCACTTAACAACCGCAGGGATTCATGTAACGAAGGTGGCCAAAAACGTTAGTCGAATCAGGCGCGAGCCACTTAAGAACTCACCTTCCTTAGCAGTGGAAATTCTGATCCCCATTGTTTTTGTAACTCAAGGAGTAATCTATACCTTAGGTCTCCAAAAATGTTGGGAAGGGGGCTGTCTTATTAGCGTGTTTTATTCCCATTGTTGCTCCTAATTTATTGTGCAATTCTGGGGGGTGGGAGAATATATATCAGAACTGGGGGGAAAAAAATAGGTAGTTTTCCTTTCATGTTTTGATTTGTTTTTTTTCTAACCACAACTTTTGGAAATTCCCTCCAGGCAATCCAAATCACTCTTTTCTTCCTTTAAAAAAGGAGCCAGTTCTCATGATCACAGGAATGTTTATCCCTTGGGTTTATAAAACGCAGGAACGCTCCTTAAAAGTTTCACGTTCGAGGTTTAGCATCCAAAGGATGCTGTTGTTTGTCCAGGAAATTTGAGGAAGTTTTGGGAAATTACGAGCCGGAAGAAAAACAGGAAATCAAAACCCTCTTTTTCGCATCGAAGCTTCTGCCGGGCCCGAGAACAGACCCCCCTCCTTAAGAAACGTGCAGAGCTGCCTTTTATATTTTCGGTCTCTCGGCTAGGATTCCAACCCGAGTTGCTTCTTTCCAGAAATAAATGCTCAAGTGTTCCCGTGCGATCACTTCCTAAGAGCGGTCGATATTTTTAGCTGGTGTGGAGCCTGCAATATTAATGCTCCCTGCCAGCAACACCAGCAGGGGGTGGGGAGTTTGGGGGGGGAGAGGTTAGGAAGGGTGGGTGGGGGGGGGAGGATGTACGTCAATGAAACTTTGAGCTTCGCTTCTCTCCGGGGGCCTCGGAATTGGGAAAGACCCAGCCGGAGTTGGGTTTCGTTTTTGCAGGGATCAGAAAACCTGACTTGGTGGGGAGGTTATTATTATTATTGGTTCGATTTTATATGCCGCCCTTCTCCGGAGACTCAGGGCGGCTTACAATGCGTTAAGCAATAGCCTTCATCCTTTTGTATATTTTATACAAAGTCAGCTTATTGCCCCCACAAACTGGGTCCTCATTTCACCTACCTTAGAAAGGATGGAAGGCTGAGTCAACCTTGAGCCTGGCGAGATTCGATCTTACTTTAAGAGCTGGTGTTAAATTACAGAGCTCTGTCTGTTGAGCTATCCAGGCTCCCTTGATTGATTGATTGATTGGTTCGATTTATATGCCGCCCTTCTCCGGAGACTCAGGGCGGCTTACAGTGCGTTAAGCAATAGCCTTCATCCTTTTGTATATACCTGCTTAGTAGGGCTTTCGGTCCACCCCCTAAGCGGTGTTCTATTTTATACAAAGTCAGCTTATTGCCCCCACAATCCAGGTCCTCGTTTATTTATTATTTTATTTTATTTTATTTTATTTTATTTTATTATTTTATTTTATTTTATTTTATTTTATTTTATTAAAAACACAAAGACAGACAATATTTAAAAATAATTAAAATTATTAAATAATAGGCCCAATTTATAAAACCCCGAATTTAAAATCCCATTTAAAACCAATTAAAATCTTTATATTGATAGCCCAGCCTGGCGGAACAACATGGTTTTGAGGGCACCGTGAAATACACGGAGATCGGAGATTTTACGAATTTCTGGGGGGAGTTCATTCCAAAGGGCAGGGGCTCCCCATTTGAGCTCCCCTCTGCAAAAGGGGTTTTTTGGGGGGGGGAACCCCCAACGGCCACCGGGTGTAAGAGTCCATTGTCCCCCATTAGGCTGAAATGATTGGGGTACGCTCAAGGATAGGCTGCTGGGGGTTTATAGGGGTTCGGGAGAACCTCTAGCTAAGATTCTGTGCAGTTCGGAGAACTCCCAAACCCCACTCCTGGCTGGCCCCGCCCACCCTGCCCCGCCCCTCCCAGGAGTCCCCACGTGGCCCATTTTGGATGCAGATAAGTGCAGGGCGCACACAAAGCCTTCGGGGAGGGTGAAAAACGGGCCTACCAGAAGTTCGGAAAGGCCGAAAACAGGCCCGTTTCCGGCCTCCAGAGGCCCTCTGGAGCCTGGGGAGGCCATTTTTGCCCTGCCGGAGGCTCGAGAAAAGCCTCCGGAGCCAGGGGAGGGCAAAAACTGTGTGCAATTTTGTTTTCCCCCTCTGGAAATCTCGGGGAAGAACCGATGCTCTGACGTAACTCTCAGCTGCTTGTTTCCTTCTCAGTCCCTGCAGGATAAGAGCTACAACCACTTTGCTGCTATCTACTACCTGCTGGTAGAGAGGCTGAAGTCCCACCGCAGCAGCTTCCCCATCGATCAGCGGTTAGACTCTCGCCAGCGGCGACCCAGCACCATCGCCGAGCAAACCGTCGCCAAGGTAAACCCCACCCCTCACCCCCCGGGCTCTGTTCTAGAGCCGTTGGACAATCTAGAACGTGGAAGAGCGAGGAATTTTCTGCCCAGAAAGCTCTCTCGAGTAAAGTCCAGTCCGTACACCGTGCCACCACCAGTTATTCCAAGCTCCTGGTAGCCCCCTTTTAAATAAGAGTTCCAATATTTGAGGGGCTGCCCCAGAGAGGAGGGGGTCAAGCTATTTTCCAAGACACCCGAAGGCCAGACAAGGAATAATGGATGGAAACTGATCAAGGAGAGATTCAACCTGGAAATAAGGAGAAATTTCCTGACAGTGAGAACAATCAACCGATGGAACAGAAGTTGCCTTCGGAAGTTGTGGGAGCTTCTTCACTGGAGGCTTTCAAGAAGAGACTGGACTGCCATCAGTCAGAAACGGTGTAGGGTTTCCTGCTTGGGAAAGAGGTTGGACTAGATGACCTACAAGGTCCCTTCCAACTGTGTTATTCTATTCCATCCCATCCCATCCTCTATTCTGCTTCTCTTCTCTTCCCTTCCCTTCCTTTCCCATTCCATTCTTCTTCTCTTCTCTTCTCTTCTCTTCTCTTCTCTTCTCTTCTCTTCTCTTCTCTTCTCTTCTCTTCTCTTCTCTTCTCTTCCCTTCCCTTCCCTTCCCTTCCCTTCCCTTCCCTTCCCTTCCCTTCCCTTCCATTCCATTCCATTCCATTCCATTCTATTCTATTCTATTCTATTCTATTCTATTCTATTCTATTCTATTCTATTCTTTGAACTTCCCCATTTCCTTTGGGCTTCTGCTTGAATCCTCTTTTGACCGTCCTTTTCTCTCGCCCTTCGCAGGCTTCTGTTGCACCTGTAAACTTGCACTCTCAAAACCTACGGCTCCGAAGGTCTCCTGGCCTCCCTCCGACAGCCGAGGCCTTCTCCTTCTCCAGATCCGTCTGCCAGGCGGAAACGGCTTTCATGGAGGAAGAGAGAATCGACACCCCCAAAGTAAGGGCGTCTGCAGGGGGATTGCGTGGCGTGATTGCATTCCAGCCCCTCCCTGCACACTTCCTCCCCCTCCCCCCCCCAGTAAAAGGGGCTGGCTCTAAGCTTGATTAATGGGGAGCGACACTGACACCATGGTTATACAAAGGCCCAGCTCCTCCGGTGAGTTTGGGCTTAAGACTTCAGCAGAGATGGGGCTGAAGAGACCCACGGCAAGCTGGAGAGAGGGGCAGGCTCTGTTGTGAAAAGAGCATGGAGGGTATGAGAAAACCCCTTTCATGGTGATCCTTGCTGGCTAGGGAATTCTGGGAGTTGAAGTCCATCCATCTTAAACTGGCTAAGGTCAAGAAGCACTCGTCTAGCAATTGGACTTACAAACCCCTTCATAATCTAAGCGGTTTAACAACGGACATGTGGCTCAGTGGGTAAGACGCTGAGCTTGTTGATTGAAAGGTCGGCAGTTCAGCGGTTCGAATCCCTAGTGCCGCATAACGAGGTGAGCTCCCGTGAGTTATCCCAGCTTTTGCCAACCTAGCAGTTCGAAAGCAGGTAAAAAATGCAAGTAGAAAAATAGGGACCACCTTTGGTGGAAAGGGAACAGCGTTCCGTGCGCCTTTGGCATTGAGTCATGCCGGCCACATGACCACGGAGACTTCTTCTTCGGACAGCGCTGGCTCTTCGGCTTTGAAAGGGAGATGAGCACCGCCCCCTAGAGTCGGGAACGACTAGCACATATGTGCGAGGGGAACCTTTACCTAAGTGGTTTACAGAGTCAGCCTCTTGCCCCCAACAATCTGGGTCCTCATTTTACTGACCTCGGAAGAATGGAAGGCTGAGTCAACCTTGAGCCGGTCAGGATCGAACTGCTGGCAACGGGCAGAATTATCAGCCTGCAATACTGCATTCTCGGCACAGTGCCACTCCGGCTCTTTTAAATCAACTCTTATCCCTATTTTTGATCACATGACCATGGGAGGTGCTTTGATTGTCACAAGTGCGAATGATTGCTCATTCGTTACTTTTTTCAGTGCCGTTTTAAGTTTGGTCACTAAATGAATGACTATCGGTGATCATCTCGTCACTAAACGAATGGCTTCCGTGCAGGTTCCTCTCTTCAACGCCCACCGGTTTCTTTTCTCCTCCTGATTAGGTGAACGGCTGCCTGCTAGATCCTGTCCCCCCAATGATGGTAAGGAAGGGGTGCCAATCCCTCCCGACCAGCATGATGGAAACGTCCATCGATGAAGGGATCGAAGCCGAAGGGGAATCTGAAACGGATCCTGCCCAGGCCTTTGCCAGCGTTGCAAGGATCTCGCGGTGGGAAGAGGCGACATACCCTGGCAGAAGTGACCAATCCCCTCTTGGCCATGCCAGGCCCAGGTACGAAACGGGGGTCCGAGGGTCCAGGCTGGAGATCAGAGCTTCAGACTAAGGGGTCATTTCTGATCCAACCTTCCCCCGCCTTGTGCTGCCTGGGAAATTCTGGAAGGACGATCCCACCACACCAGGTTGAAGAAGGTTGATCACAGAATCAGAGAGTTGGAAGGGGCCTTGGAGGTCTTCTAGTCCAACCTGCTGCTCAAGCAGGAGACCCTGGCCTAGACCATTCCAGAAAAATAGGTGTCCAATCTCTTCTTAAAAAGCTCCAGTGATGGGGAAGGAAGGAAGGAAGGAGGGAGGGAGGAAGGGAGGAAGGAAGGACAGAAGGAAGGAAGGACAAGAGGGAGGGAGAAGGAAAAGTGAGGGGGGAAGGAGGGAAGAAGGAAGGAAGGAAGGAAAGATAAGAGGGAGGAAGGAAGGAAGGAAGGAAGGACAAGAGGGAGGGAGAAGGAAAAGTGAGAGGAAGGGAGGGAGGGAGGAAGGAAGGAAGGAAGGAAGGAAAGATAAGAGGGAGGAAGGAAGGAAGGAAGGACAAGAGGGAGGGAGAAGGAAAAGTGAGAGGGAGGGAGGGAAGAAGGAAGGAAGGAAGGAAGGAAGGAAAGATAAGAGGAAGGAAGGAAGGAAGGAAGGACAAGAGGGAGGGAGAAGGAAAAGTGAGAGGGAGGGAAGGAAGGAAGGACAAGAGGGAGGGAGAAGGAAAGTGAGAGGGAGGGAGAGGAAGGAAGGAAGGACATCCCAAAGTTGTCTTTTCAACCATGACCTCGATGACTGAGAACTCCATAGAGTCCCACTTAAAGGCCGAAAAGCAGTCCTCACTCTGCGTAATTTCATTTATTTATTTATTTATTTATTTATTTATTTATTTATTTATTTATTTAATTTATATACCGCCCTTCTCCCAAAGGGACTCAGGGCGGTGTACAGCCAGCATAAAACACACAAATATAAAATTTAAAAACAGTTTAAAAAATATTAAATAGTTTGGCCCGTTATCTAATTGAAATAAAACTACCCACTTCATGGACTTCATGTCACAAGCTGAAGACCGGTAGGAGGTCTAACCCTACAGACCACCCAAGGGGTGCAGTAGAAGGTCCTCCCACTGCATTCAACCATCAAGAAAGGAGTCTTCTGCCCGCCTTGGGGACCAGCCGTGAATTTGCTTGGTAGGGAAGACCCGAGGAGTAGAAGAAGCGTACAGATGGTGGCTGCTTGCTGTGCCAAGGCATCTCATGACAGGGTGCAAAGATTGGGGAGAGCAAACAGTGTCAGCTCAGAAGCCACCAGCTGGCAAGGGCTTTGTTGGGCTGGTGGCAAGCAGGACAAGCCCTCCAGGAGAACAACTTTTCTCTCAGTTCACGTGTTTCCGTTTGCGTGGCATATGTTAGTTGTCTGCAAGAGGGAAGGCCTGCCCACCCTCGAAAGGACGCTTTGAGAAAGAAAGAGGGGGAAGGAAAGGGAGGAGAGAAAGAAGGAAGGAGAGAGAAAGAAGGAAGGAAGGAGAGAGAAGGGAAAGAAAGAAAAAAAGGGAGGAAGGAGAGAAAGAAGGAAGGAAGGAAAGAGAAAGAAAAGAGATAAGGAAGGAAGGAGAAAGAAAGAAAAAATAGAAAGAAGGAAGGAAGAAGAGAAAGAAAAGAAAAAGAAGGAAGGAGAAAGAAAGAAAAGAGAAAGAAGGAAAAGAAAGAGAAAGAAGGATAGAAAGAAAAAGAGAAAGAAGGAAGGAGAGAGAGAAAGAAAAGAGAGAGAGAGAAAGAAGGAAGGAGAGAGAGAAAGAAAGAAAAGAAAAGAAAGAGAAAGGAAGGAAGAAGTAGGATTACCAAAATCACAGTTGAGCAAACGGCTCCTTTTAGGAGGGTCCTTCCTTTAAAGCAATTCATGCATGCCTTTGCATTTCCTGTAGACTCTGGATTTTCCAGGGCCCGACAGAGAGAGAGAAAGAGAGAGAGAGAGAGAGAGAGATAACTGGCTTGAACGGGAGGTCAGGTCACAGAGTGTCGAAACTAAAGCAAGATTTCAAAGGCCCGGTGGAGAGCTCCAAAGGACGCAGGAGGAGACATCCCTCTCCTGCCTGCCTTCAGCGGGGTAGAAGCATGGGGCTCTCTGCTCTGTTCAGTTGGAAGCAGAACTGGCTGGCTGGGGAATTCTGGAAGTTGAAGCCCACAAGTCTTAAAGTTGCCAAGACAAGAAGAGAGCCTTGCGTTAGAGGAAGCCACAGAGGAGAAATGTTGGCCGCGTTCTGTAAAGTCAAAAGTAGCCTATTGTGGGCCAGGATAAGTGAAAACACTACTGAGAAAAAAAACCCTTCTTGTAGGTCCCCCGAAGTGGATCTGTTTGCCTTTCTAGGACTTTAGACACAACGATCCTGGCAGATCCTGGCTAATTCTGTTTCTTGTGTTTCCTCTTGGGTCCTGAAGGAAAAGTCTTCTCCATGGAGGAGAACCAATCCTTGAGCAGCGTTGACTCGGAATACGACATGGGGTCTATCCAGAGGGATTTAAACTTCCTGGAAGACACCTCCTCCTTGAAGGAAATGGTTCTGGCCAACCCGCCAGCGCCGAGGCTGACCCCCCCTTTCATTGGCCTGAGACCGCCTAATCCAGCCATGCAGGCGTTGGCGGCCCACAAGCGGGAAGCCCACAACCGTTCCCCAGTCAGCTTTCGAGAGGGGCGCAGGGCATCGGACACCTCCCTGACACAAGGTAAACTGCTCTGGATTGAGGGGCGTCCGAGGGACAGGCAGTCTTTGATGGCCGAAGCCTCATTGCCATTGGCTGCAGGAGTTGGGGCCGCGATGGGTTGACTTGGCCAAAGGCGGGTTTGGGATTGCCTCTTGCAAACTTGCAGCTGGAACCCAAAGAGAATTCAGACACCACAATCTACACGTGAAAGAATCTTTAAATCTCTTCAGCCACAACAATACATGAGCACACAATAGATGCAAACGTAAGGTAAATCGCTCCAAACTCGATTGCAGAAAATACGACTTCAGCTACAGAGTGGTCAATGCCTGGAATGCACTACCTGACTCTGTGGTTTCTTCCCCAAACCCCCAAAACTTTAACCTTAGACTGTCTACTGTTGACCTCACCCCATTCCTAAGAGGTCTGTAAGGGGCGTGCATAAGCGCACAGGCGTGCTTCCGTCCCTTTTTATTCATATATATATTTCATGTATTCATAATCATGTTTATACCTTTATCTGTAATCTTATTTATGCTTGACAAATCAATAAAACAAACAAATACTTGGAATTGCTCTGCTCTTTACGCACAGGTGTTTTTTTCAAGAGGCAGCTGGACTTTCTGGTTTTTCTTTGAGGAACGTTTCACTTCTTCTCCAAAGAAAAGCTGCTTCAGCTCTGCAGCTCATCCGAGAAGCTTCTTCAGTAAGCTGAAGAAGCTCCTTGGATGAGAAGCGAAATATCTTCAAAGAAAAACCAGAAAGTCCAGTGGCCTCTTGAAAAAAGTACCTTTAGGACAACTGTGAAATGGATGGCCAATGGATGGATGTCTCCATTAGACACACTCTGCTCTTTAACCTTCCAACAGGAATTGTAGCGTTCAGGCAACACCTTCAGAACTTGGCCAGAACCAAAGGCATCCTGGAGCTGAACAAAGTCCAGTTGTTGTATGACCAGATGAGGTCCGAAGACGAACTTTCTCTGGAATCCGCTTCTCCTCACTTACAAGACCTTGAGAGTGGTCCCCAGCAGGTACGTCCTTGGAGAGGAATTTTTATCATCTGGGTTGGGGCTCTCTGGAGTCACTGAGCTCCTACATTATAAACAAACCTGTTCCTGAAGCTACCTTGGAAGGCGTGCAGAGGTCTTAGGTGGGACCGGAAGTTGGCAAACGGGCCGTTTCCGGCCTCCAAGGGGGTGGGGAAGGCCGTTTTCGCCCTCCCCAGACTCCTAGAAAGGCTCTGGAGCCTGGGGAGGGCGAAAAACGGGCCTTCCTCACCACCCCCCGAGGCCCTCAGGAGACAGGAAACAGCCTGTTTCCCTACGTACGGTGGGCCCAGAAGGCCCGAAAATGAGCTGGGCAGCGCTGGAGCTGAGCTGGCATGCCCACCGATATGGCTACGTGTGCCACCTGTGGCATGCGTGCCATAGGTTCGCCATCACGGTCTTAGATCGATGTGGGATGATAGAAGCTGCAGCATGTCAGGAACAGGTTTTTGATTCATCTGGGCATGAAATGTGGCCCTGTCTACTGTCTTGGTGCCATTCCTGCCGCTCTAGAGAATCTGAGGATCTGGAGATCTTCTTGGTGGCCAAAACCTCTGCTCAGACCTCCTCCTCCGTACCAGAGAAATGCAGGCTGAACGTTTGAGGGTGGCTTTGGAGGTGGTGGTGGAGCAGTGGTGAAATTTTCCCCGGTTTGCTACCGGTTCGCTGCTCGCGCATGCCCAGTGCGCACAAAATGCATGCGTGCGCGCAGGCACAATATGCGCCAACACACGCGGAAAAAGAAGGGTTGGGAAGGTAAGTAGAACAGCAAGGGGGGAACAGCTGTGCTGCACAATTTAAATTCACTAGAAAGCAGGATTTCCTGTTTTCTAGCGAATATAAACCGTGCAGCACAGCTGATTGTTGGAAATACCGGTTCGGATGAATCGGTAATTTTTTTTTATCCCTACCGGTTTGTCTGAACCGGTGCGAACCAGTAGGATTTCACAGCTGCGGTGGAGGATAGAATTATTTTGAATTGGAGGCTCTTCTCCAAGAATCTGATCAGTGGCCATTTCTTTTTCTGCACCTTTCTGAGCCCACCTTTGGCTCCAAACCGCAAAAGGAGATCATTTGGCCGATAAGGTCTTCTTCTCTCCCACCCCCACCCCCCTCTTTTTCTCTGAAGGAAGAAGCATCCTTGCCGCAGGAGGCAGCTTCCACCTTCCCCAGCAGCCTCCATCCCCCGTTGCTATCCAGGCGTCAGAGCTTAGAAACGCAGTATCTGCAGCACCGGCTTCAGGTACGTCGCCTTCCTTGGGAAGCCTTAAAGTCAACGGAGATAAATTGTTCATTGGAAGAGGCTGCCTTTCGTTCTCAGATCCGCTGAGTGGGAAGGTGGGGGGCAGGAGGGGAGGGGTTGTGTCTTCTCTGCAAAGCCGTTGCCTCCTTCCCGGGAGGGGGGAAAGAGGGAGAGCGAGTCATAGACCCAGCCCACGAATTCAGGCCTCCCACCTGACTTGTCAAGACTTCCGATGGCAGCCTTGAAATGCCGCGCATTGCGACGAGGCCCAGCTCTCTCTCTCTCTCTCTTCCCTTTTCTCCTTCCAGAAGCCCAACCTGCTTTCCAAAGCCCAGCACGCGTGCCAGATGTTTTGCAAGGAGATACCTCGGAGCCTGGAACAGCAGCTGCAGGAGCACAGGTGAGCCCTAAGCTCCGGGGGAAGGTCAGGATCCCAGCAAGCCCCGTTTTGCAAAGACTGAATAAACAGCGTAACTTCAGGAGAGCACGGCCCACCTTAACAGCGGGTTCTTCCACTGGAAATAGACTTTTCACACACACACACACACCCAAGACTCCCTTTGTTGCTGGAAGAAAAGTCGCCGCAACCTAATTAGCCCAGATCTTCCCTTCCCACTCAGTACATCATGAAGTTAACAGAATTCTCTTGTCAAACTGGGCTGGAGAATTCTGGGAGTTGAGTCTTAAAAGTTGCCAAGGTTGGAGATCCCTGGCTGATGGGAAAGCAGACTTAACTCGCCATTCTCCACCTCTTGATTTAGGTTGTATCAGAAGCACCTCTTCCTCCAGAAGCAATCCCAGCTGCAGACCTACTTCAACCAGATGCAGATCGCCGAGGGCACCTACTCCCGATCCAGCCAGCTGCCCCTCCCTTGCCACGAGGAGCCCCCTCTTCCTCCTCCTCCTCCTCCTCCTTCCCAGTTCAGCCTGGTGCAGCCCTTGAGCCCCGTCATGGAGCCGCCATCTGCCGAAGACATGCAATACGACCCTTTCCTCAGCCAGTATCAGAAGCTGCAGCTTGGCCAGCAACCTCCCACCGCCCTCCACGGCTCCCCCCCAAGTTCCACCCCAGCAGCAACAGTATCCCTACCAGACTTGCGAAGGGCCGCTCGGCCTCTCGCCCGACTTAGACTATGCCGGCCAGCCTCCGTATCCCCTGGAGCCCACTCAGCAGAGCGGCATAGCCATGACCAACGTCCAGAGAGGCTCGGAACCTCCAGGGTCTCAATCCAGCTATGACACCTTAAACCTTGCCCAGTTGCCCGGGCTCTTGGATTGTGAAATGATGGAGACGGTCGATCCCCAACATGGAGGCTACGTCTTGGTGAACTAGCAGCTTTGGGGGTGCTTCCTTGGAGAAGGAGACGGTGGGTCGAAGTCAAGTCACACCGTGGCTGCGGATTTCCATCTGGGCTCTTGTCTCCCGCCTCCACGGCTGCTTCTCCAAATCTTTGAGCTTCGCGGATGAAGAGCCAAACACTCTGAACTGGTACTAGCGGAGGAGGGCTGAAGGCAGGCCCTGCACCTTCACACAGAACGAAGAACGACTCTGAAGGGAAGGGGAAACCCCGCTTTCTGAGAAGGAAGGGTCCTTCCAGAAATTTCGGGTGTTCTACTCACCGCTCAAACCTCTTGTCAGAGGAAACCTGGGAGAATTCAGGAAGAGGAGTGAAGAATTTGCTCTACACCATACTTGGCAATAAAAGCAATACATTATTTTTTTTTTTTCCATTGGAATCTGGCCGAGAGGTCGTTGACACGGAAGCCAGTCAGGAATGTAGGATGTCCCAGGGCTTGAGAATTGGTCTGCTAAGCTAGACTAGGCTGCAGATCAGAAGCGGGAAACCGTGGCCCTCTTTGGACTTGTGGACTTCACAACTCCCAGAATTCTGGGAGTTGGAAGTCCACAAGTCCTAAAAATTGCCATAGTTCCCCGTTCCTGTGTAGATGTTCTTCAGAGGACTTGCAGGAACTCTTTGGACTTCTGTTTTGTCGGCCGGATGACTTGCTGGGAACTCCGAACCTTTGCACATCTCGAGAGCTCCCTGGATCATCGACGAAAACGTCCCTTGGTCCATCTTGAAATTCAGCTTGGGAGTCAACATCTAGGGATTGTTGAGGTCCTCCAGAGATCAGCAGGGAAGGAGATCCAAGAGTCTGAAGCTAAAGCAGCATCAAAGCAACCTTGGGAAGAGCTTGATCACTGGACAAATTGTTCTAAGCTGCCCTTTGTAGCTCTTTTTTTTTCTTCTTCTTTTTTTAGAGGAAGCAAATCTACTTGGACTTCAAGAGTGTGCGTTGTTCTTAGGCTTTGCATATTTGGGCAACTATTTAGGGGTGTAGTGTTTTAAGGACAAAGCAGAATAAGCTTACCAGAAAACCCATGTGAAGTGATAGTGCCGTGCCTTTTTTTCGGTTCTTTCTAAGACCCTTTCTTTCTCTTTTTTTAAAAAATTCTGAAGTTTTTGGTTTGTTTTTTTTTAAAAAACCACCCCCATCTCTTGTCTAGGCTGACACCAAAGTCCCTTCAGAGACCGGGTTCCACCGTGTGGAATGCAGGTTTCGTGTTTCTTTTCCCCCTAATAATTCTTTCTGACTCACTCATCTATAGACCTGATTTTAATTTTCCTTGGGGAAGAAAAAAAAAAAGAAGTATTACAGCAATATTTAGGATCGGTAACCATTGACTCGTTCATCACTTCAACAGGTGTCTGCTCTGTAAAAGCATCGGCCTCCCTAGGAAAGACACAAATATACTACGAATTTATTTCAAGAGGAGTGGGGTGGGGGAGGCTTAGCATTTGAGACAGACCGGTGGGTTGGAAGCCTTCTGTTGAAACTGGGTAAAAATTGAAGCACAACCTCTCCATTTTTTTAAGCACAAACAAAAAAGGGTCACTCAGCAAAATTAACCTGGTAGAAAGCAAAGGTTTCGTTCCTGCGATCCATTCTGGCGATCTGCTGGCCCATTTGATGCCGTAGGAGAGGGTTTCTCAAATCTTGGCTGTTTTAAGATGGGTGGACTTCCAACTCCCAGAACTTCCCCCTAACCAGGAAGTTAGGGGGAATTCTGGGAGTTGAAGTCCACCCCGTCTTTAAACGGCCATGGTTGAAAAACCCAGTTGTAGGGTAACTGCAATAAAACATTTGGGGGAGAAGCCATTCAGCCCCAAATAGCCTAGATCTCTTCCGCTCTGTTTTGAAAAGTTTGGACCAGTTTGAAAGGAAGAGAAACAGGTTGCCCCGATAACGATGCCCTCCAGTCTGCCCTGCGGTGGCTCTCCAAAATCCGCAAGAAAGAAAATCGGTTCCGTGAAATAACGCCCACCGGATCTCATCGGGAACAGCTTGAAATGGGACCATCCCCAGGAAGCGCAGAAGGCCCATCTTAATGGCGATGTCGCTTCCCTTCCTCCTCAGCTCCAACCCCTGGGAGAAGAAGGAATCCGTGTTTCCATGGTGCTGGGCTGGTGGCTTTGGAAGGTGCTTTCCCCCCACCCCCAGGCGTTTCACACCCAACGGGGCATGAAAACCTGCCTCCTTCCATGGGGTCAACCCTTGTTCAATTTTCATGAGCGGGAAGAGATCGCCCCAGCCTAAGGAAATCCATCGGCCATCTTGGGGACCTCAAGGTGGAGCAGGGTGGGGGGGAATGTAGCCCAGGTCAGCCCTTCCTTCCCTCTTTGAACCCTGGAGGAAGATCTCCCCTTACCACCAGCCTTACAGTAGACCAGATTGAGCTAGCAAGAATCCTGCCAGGCCAGACACGGCAGCTCGGTTGCCACCGTTCTAAGGAGTGTTAACACACTTTCTCGTAGCATCCCGATTACCCAGGCAGGGGGCAACTCTGGTGCAGAAGGCTGCTGATTTTGTGCAAACCCGCCTCTTCCCCTCCCCATCTCTAGACTGCACAGGTAGCAAAACCCCTGAGCAGGTATCTCTTTGCTAGAGATCTATTCCAGGAGGGCTCGGAAGGGACGCCAGGTTTACTGAAGGCTAGGCAACCGAGCTGATCTGGGGCTCCCAACTCTTGCTTCCAAGGGCCCAGCTTGTGGCCATCTGGTGCAGATTGGGGGGGAGGCCCCTGAGTGACCCCCAGCCTCATTCTCTTGTTGGGAGGGGTTGCTTTTTCTCCTCTCCTCCCCCACCCCCATGTTGGGACCGAGCCTCTGAATGTAAAACGAGTTCAAACATCCCCTCCATCTCTCCCTCTGCTTTTAAACAGTCTCTGGTGTTTCTGGACCCTTTTTGCTGTCTTTCCGACAAATCGGCGATCCAGGGAACGGGCGTTTTCCCAGCCGGGCTCACCCTGCCTCCCAGGACCGCCACCTCTTCTTCCTCCCATGTTCCAGCTCGTTCAAAGTGTAGCCGCTTTTCGTCCAATTTACTGTGCAGGTCCTTTCGGAGGGGTTTCGTGAACGCTACTGTTCGGTTTTTTTGTTTTTTTTTTAGGAAACAACTAGCTTTATCCGTTGAAAATGCAGGTCCCTTTGAAGTGACTTTGGTGAGACGTTGGGGTTTTTTTGGGGGGGGGTAGGGGGGTTTCCCCACAATCTTTTACTCTGGAGACAAGTGCAATATGTGTGTGGTACGTTCTTTAATGTATTTTTTAAGGAAACAAAAAAGCAAACAAAAGAGTTAAAAAGGATTTAGCCTTCGCTTGGGGAAAACCTGCACTTAAGGTTGCAAACGCCTCTTTTTTTGGGGAGGGGGGCTCCCTCTGTAGTATTTACATGCCGGACTCTGTCAAAGCAATTGCAATGTATTAATGCAGAATAAAGAACATGGACCTTCCGGTTTTGTTTTTTTAAAAAAAAAATTCGGTGAGCTCCGTGACATCAGCTCCTGTTTTGGGGCATCGGCAGCCTCTCTCTTACGGATCTTCAGGAAGCTGCTCACAAAGGCGGGCGGTGTTATAAATCAAAGGTCCAGCAGCCGAAGCAACTGGTCTCCACCTTAATCCCAGGTACCTCTTAGCACAGCTGGGAAGGCCCTTCGTTGCAGTGGATTAAGATTCTGACTTGGGAAGCAATAGCACTTAAGAGTTATATGCCGCTTCACCGTGCTTTTACAACCCTCTATAAACTGTTTACAGAGTCGGCATTTTGCCCCCAACAGTCTGGGTCCACATATTACCCACCTTGGAAGGATGGAAGGCCGAGTCAACCTTGAGCCAGTCAGGATCAAACTGCTGGCAGTGGGCAGAATTAGCAGCCTGCAATACTGCATTCTAACCACAAAGAAGGAAGATAGCAATAGCACTTAGATTTATATACCGCTTCATGGTGCTTTCCAGCCCTCTCTAAGCGGTTTACAGAGTCAGCCTCTTTCCCCCAACAATCTGGGTCCTCATTTTACCCACCTTGGAAGGATGGAAGGCCAAGTCAACCTTGAGCCGGTCAGGATCGAACTGCTGGCGGTGGGCAGAGTCAGCCTGCAATACTGCATTCTAACCACTGCGCCACCAGGGCACAAGAGAGGTGCAAACGTTCAAGATTTCTTTTCGGCGTGGTCAGAATTGGGGGTGCAGTCATGTTTGGGGGGGTGGGAAAGATTGATTTTCAAAAAGGGAAGGGTTGAAAGTAATTCTTAACAACGCGGGAATCCTTGGTTGGTATCTCTGACTAATAGTCATCCAGTCAACCGTCCAATTAAAATCAACTTCCTTTGTAATGGATTCCTGGACTGTCTTGAGGAACAGCTCTGAATCAATCTGACCTGTCTTCCACCTGACCGCCCTTCAGTTCCTCCCCACAATATCCTCTGCCCTAGGCTAAATATCCACGTAGTCCTTGTTTAACGACTGTTCACAGAAAAAAATAGCTCTGCAACCAGCCTGCCCATTTGCGATCTTTGCAGGAAAGCTGAAATACCATCCGCACCATCGCTGGTTCCCTTAGCAACCACTTTGTTGCGCGTCCAAGTTGCCCATTCCAATTGTGGTCACTAAATGAGGACTACCTGTGTACCTAATCCGTCCTCCTCTTCCTCTTAAGTTCTTCCTGAGTTTGCTGTCCCGAGGGCTGCTCTAGTTCGTCAAGTTTTGGTGCAGTTCAACCTATGCAGAATAGGAAGGAATCATAAAGTTGGAGAATAATATATTATTTTGGCAGTTTGGATTTCCTCTCCCTAGCTTGTTCCAATTTAGTTTCTGAATGTTTTGTTACCAGACTACATAACATCATCAGCAGGATTTTTCGTGTCCTATTCTCCTTCGCTTATAAATGTCTTGTGCAATAACAATGCATTATTTTTTTAAAAGAGGACGCAGTGGCTCAATAGCTAAGATGCTGAGCTTATCGATCAAAAGGTCGGCAGTTCAGCGGTTCGAATCCCTAATGCCGCGTAACGGGGTGAGCTCCCGTAACTCGTCCCAGCTTCTGCCAATCGAAAGCAGTTCGAAAGCACGTAGAAAATGCAAGTAGAAAAATAGGGACCACCTTTGGTGGGAAGGTAACAGCATTCCGTGCGCCTTTGGCGTTGAGTCATGCCGGCCACGTGACCACGGAGACGTCTTCGGACAGCGCTGGCTCTTCGGCTTTGGAACGGAGATGAGCACCGCCCCCTAGAGTCAGGAACAGATAAGCGAGGGGAACCTTTACGTTTACCTATTTTTTTAAAATCAGAAACCAAACATGTGGGGATGGACCTCAGCTATCTTCTCCAAAAATGCAGGTAGCCTTAAAATTCCCACCATTTTTCCCCTTTGATACTACAGGCTGCCAATGAAGCAACTTAGAACTAAGGAGAAATTTCCTGACAGTTAGAACAATTAATAAGCGGAACAACTTGCCTGCAGAAGTCGTGGATGCTCCAACACTGGAAGTTTTTTAAGAAGATGTTGGATAACCATTTGTCTGAAGTGTAGGGTTTCCTGCCTGGGCAGGGGGTTGGACTAGAAGACCTCCAAAGGTCCCTTCCAACTCTGTTTTTCTATTCTATTCTATTTATAATAAGCAGGTGGAAGCCTTCCTCCAGCCCAAACACGGGTGCTTCCCTGTGCAGCCTAATCCCTTGTCAAGTTTGATTTCTACCCTAAGGATTATTGTACGGCACGAGTAATACCGAACGCAAACAAGTCGCTTTGGATGGTGCCATGGGAAATAACGCTGGGGTATTTCGTTTTCTCTTTCGCTCTCTTCCTTGAGAGTAGAAATTCAGCCTGCAGAGATGGCAAATTGATTCCGCAGGTTAAGATGTTGAGCTGATTCATCAGAAAAGGCGTTTTTAAGTTGTATTGAGTGGCATTTCACTGCAGTTGGAAAAAGCATCTCTCTCTTTTGTATTATGAGATAGAATAAATGACCAAAGAGTCAGTTGGATGGAGTGGTTAAAGCAGCCTTTTTCAGCTTTTAAGAGGGGTGGGACTTCAACTCCCAGAATTCCCCAGCCATAGCTATGGCTGGGGAATTCTGGGAGTTGAAGTTGCCCAAAAGTTAAGAGTTAAAAGTTGCCCAAAATTGAAAAGCAACCGATAGTGCCATTTTGCAAAGCAACCTGTTTTATAACCAAGGTGGGATTTTTACTCCCGTTTTTTAAAAAATGGACAGCAGTGGGTTGCGCAGGCTTTTGTGAAAAACAGGTTATTTAAAACGGGGGATTCTGGGAGTTGAGCCCCGTCTTTAAAAGTTGGCACACCCGGGGTGAAACTCTCGAGGCTGGAAAGCAGAAACCTTGTGAGTTTTAATCCTCCCTTAGGGCACCGAGCCAGCTGTTTGTCTGCCTCTCTCTCTCTCTCTCTCTCTGAAAGCAAAGTCAAACACTTCCAAAAATGCAGGAACTTGTTCAGGTCGTTGCCAGCAATCAAGTGTGGCTTCTTAGACACACACAGACACACACACACAAGTGTAGAAATAGGCCGAGTGTGGAAAGGAAGCTTAGCGACAGCCAATGGCTGCCTTCTCACACTGCATGAAGACACTGCCTGGCTGTGCCAGTTTTGCCTGCTCTTCTGAACCAGTTTATTAAATTTTGCACACACACACACACACACACACAAAAACCCCACCGCCCGTAAGAACGAACATATAAAATAAGAAGGGGGGGAAAAAAAGGAGAAAGAGGAAAGAGAGATAGAAATAGAAGGGCAGAAAGAGAAAAAAAAAAGAAAAGAAAAATAATAAATACCAAGAATTGGCCTCTGACTTCCTCCAAGCCTATAATAGGCTTCACCTATTTTGAGAAGCCTCTGGATTGTGGCTTTGTGCGATAGGCAAAGCAATGCACACACGCACACAACTGAATTACAATCCCTGAGCAGGAAAGACACACACGAGCTGCAAGCTATGGCCAGCCAGGGAGGGTCGTGTGAATTGGCAAAACGCATGGATTTGGCCAGAGGTCTTCCTCTTTTGTCTGGATGCAGCTGCCCCTCTGCCTTCTCAAGCTGGCCAATGGTTCAGAAGGAGCCTCTGATCCTTTATCCCGGGGGAGGGGGGGTGTTTTAAAAAGACCCCCCCCCCGTATTGAAACAGATCCTTTCATCAGGATGGGCAGCTGGCAAAGCTCAGATGCGCCACAGATGGCAAAAGATGGTGAAATTCTGGGAGTTTGGGTGGGTCCCAAGAGTTTGGATGTTGTCTCTCGTTGGCACACTTTTTGGGCACCCAAAAGTTCCCATTGTAAGAAAAACCCCTTAACCTCTCTGTGTGTGTGTAAGGCCAGGCCAGGGTGGGCTGGCTGATGTGCCCATTCCCTTTTGCCAACGGCGGGCACCAAATGGTCCTCCTCACGGGTGGGGGGTGCCCTCCTTTTAAACAGCCTCCAGCGGCTGCTGCAAAGTCAAACTTTCCGCAAGTGACAAATCAGCCGAGCAGATGCGTTGGCATGGCAACGGCTCCAAGGAGACCGCGGGTACGTGCCCATAATCACCTGGAATGGGGGTGGGGGATGCCATCCTCTTTCCCCCCCCCGCCCCCCACTCTCCACAGGAAAGGCAGCCACAAATGGATTGGTGTGAATTATTCATTAATCTCGCCCTGCCTGCCACTCTGCATGCCAAGGCAGGGCTCCAATGCCATCCCCACAGAGCAAGGGGTCCCCGAGGGTCCCGAGCTCCTGAGTTCAAGCTCAGCCTCCGGTCTCCTACTCGAGCTGCAGAGCCCAACCCATCCGCAGCCTCATTGAGCATTGGTAGTACAGTGGTCTAAAGCACCCTGTTATTAAGACCAGATGCCTGCAATTACTGCAGGTTCGAATCTCGCCAGGCTCAAGGTTGACTCAGCCTTCCATCCTTTCTAAGGTAGGTTAAATGAGGACCCAGTTTGTGGGGGCAATAAGCTGACTTTGTATAAATATACAAAAGGATGAAGGCTATTGCTTAGCGCATTGTAAGCTGCCCTGAGTCTCCGGAGAAGGGCGGCATATAAATCAAATTTTTAAAATAAATTAACAGCAAAGGCAGAATTTGCACCCAATGCCTGCTGGATGAATCCCCGCTAACTGTTTGAAAAGATTGCCTCCCCTTGCCTCCTCTTTTTCTGGCTGCAGAGCTGAAAAGTGCTTTTCCCTTTGGGGCAACCAAGCTGAGAATTGAGGAGGCCTGAGATTTTGGGGGGGGATGGGAATACCCCCTTGCACCCCCCAGAACAGCCATGGTCTCTTGCAACTTCCATCTCCCATCTGCAAAATGGACCGCGGATTGCAAAGCCCTCCCCTCCCCCTTTGCAGGATATGAGCTGCAGAGTTCAGCAGACTGGCTGGGGGGGGGGTGCTGCTTCCACTGCTTTCCTCCAGCCCATGCAACCCACCCCCCCCACTCCCCCCACCTGACCTGGAGCATGAAGGGGTCCTGACTGCCGAGCAAGAATGACATCATTAGCAGTAGCCACGGAAACCAGATCCTTTCCCCCCCACCACCCACCCCCATGGGAATCCTGTGGCAGGACCTTTGGAAATCAGACAAGGGAGCTCCAAATGCATTCGTCCCCCTCCTCTACTTTTTCCCATTGGGCTTGGAAGGGAAGCAGCTGGCTGGGGAATTCTGGGAGTTGAAGTCCTCCAGGCTTAAAGTTGCCAAGATTGGAGACCCCTGCCCTCAGCGACTCCATCTCCATCCTCAAAACTTTCTCCAGTCCATCCTTACATAGGACTTCGGGTCGCCTCTGCCAGAAACCCGCCTTCCAAAGCTGAGAACATGGGAAAAACACTGGAGATAAATCCATCAATATTTGCTGTTCCGAACAAGCTGTTAGCATTTCTAACAGCACTTAAATCTTTATTTTTTTGTTTTGCTTTGCTTGAGTTTGTTTAGATGGCGGTCCTGCCCGCTGGAACCCAACCCTGGAGTCCAGATCTTGCGGTTTGTTTACGGAGGTCTTAGAGAAGACTTTCTTAAGCCGGGGAAGAAGAATGCCACGTTGGTGCGTGAGGAGGAAATGCATGTGAGGTGAGGCTAGGGACGAAGTTTTGTTTGCAGAAAATGACACTCTGCACAAATTCACTTGTGGTCTACAGGAGGATGAGAGAAGTCACGTGTTTTTCAGCCTCAGAATAACAGAGTTGGAAGGAACCTTGGAGGTCTTCTAGGCCAGCGGTCACCAACTGGTAGACCGTGGACCATTGGTGGTCCGTGAGAAAATCTGGGTGGTCCCCAGAAAAATTATTTGCATTTTTTATATTGCACTAAATCAGGGGTCCTTAAACTACGGCCCCTGGGCTGGATACGTGCAATGAATGTTTTGTGTTGCTGCAGAGAGTTTCCCCCTTCGGGGTCTTTTTGTGTGGGTCGGAGAGGGGCAGAAATTCCGACTTGGGGTCTGCTTCGGCCTCCTGGCGTGGGGCTTTGGGCGAAGGCTGGAGGGAAGAGCCACTGGTGGCAAAGAGCCGAAGAGCCTCGTTCCAGTGGGACTGCATCATGGCCTGGAACTGGCTGACCATCTCAGCCCACTGAGCCTCCAGATGCCGGTACCTGGCCTTGCACTCCCACAGTTCTTCCCTCTGCTTGGAAAGCCTATGCTCCTAGTCCTCAGTGAGATGCTTCTGCACATGCTATATGCCATGCTATTCTACGTTCTATGCTATTCATTTTCTATATTCTGTTCTATTCTAATTCTATGCTATGCTATTCATTTTCTATTCGATTCTATCCTATCCTATTCTATTTATTCTATTCTATTCTATCCTATTCATTTTCTATATATTCTATTCTATGCTATTCATTTTCTATATATTCTATGCTATGCTATGCTATTCTTGCACAATGCCAACTTCTTTTTCCTTCTGTAGGGTCTACACAAAACTCCATAAGGATAGAGCTATTAAACAAAGGTTGGGGGGGGAGCAACAGGGAAAACAAGGGCACCCCTGTCTTGCTTTCCTCCTTCTTGGTGGAGGGGAGGGAAGGCAACACACGGGACCCAAAGCCCAATTTTTTTTTTTTAATTCAACATTGAAGTTTTACAGACTCCCGGATCGGGTGGGATGGAACGAAATGGTATTTCACAGCCAACAGTGTCGGGGACGGGACACACAATCAACATTGGATGCCCCCCCTCTCCCCAGATCCAGAAACACAATCCAGCCAGATGTTTTCTTGACGAATCCAGAACCCGTCGAAGAGTCTCCGAAGGAAAAATCCTTTAAAAAGGTGTTTTGGGGAGAAAAGAGCAGGCAAAAAAAAGACGGCGGCGCTTTTGAAAAAAACCGAATTCCCCTCCCACGAGTCGGGTTTCGCTTGAATTTTCGAAAGTGCAAATTATTTCGGCTCAGGCTCGGTCTTTTTTTTGCAGACATTTAAAGGGGGTGACCTGACGAGGCCTCTCAAAACATCAGATGCTCCGGGGCAAATAGATAGGCGGGGGGGGGGGGGGGGGTGGGGTGGGGGTTGTGGGGTGTTTGGAAATGGCCCCAGCCCCACCGCAGCCCTGTCCAGCCCAGCCCTGCTCTGCAGCCAGGAATCCAGTGTGCTCTTTTGGCTTCCTTTAGCCACAATTAAGAACAATATTGTAAATATTTATCCCGGGAGTTTTTTTCTTTTGAAAAAGAACCGTCTTGATCTCTTCCGCGTCTTGCTGAACGGCCGGTCGAAAAATGAGAAAACCGTCACAAACACAGCAAGTTTTTTGTTCTTTCTTTCTTTTTTCTTTTTCTTTTTTTTTTTTAATCTCTTTCCAAGCTCTCTTAGACTAGAACTTGCAAAACTGGGGAAGAGGATCACAAAAATTCAAAGAGGAAGCTGGGAATCTTTCTCCGGCCCTTTTAGGCTCCCGATTTCTTCCGGCCGAGTTTCGCCCGCCGAGGTTTCAAGATGGTGTAGTTCATATATTTCGTGTGTTGGTCGGAGAGGAAAGGAATGTAGAAAGCCCGGAAAAACCTTGAAGATCTAGAAGAAGACGAGAAGGTTTTCAGGTCGACGCCTAAGCAATCTTGGATGGGGGGGGGTCCCTTAAGGGAGGGGTGGGCTGCTGGGGGTCCGAAGGGGTTCGGGAGAGGCTCTAGCTAAGATTCTGTGCAATTCAGAAAACCCCCAAATCCCACTCCTGGCTGGACCCTCCCACCCTTTCGCCACAGGGCTTGTTTTGGATGCAGGTAAGTGCAGAGGCTTGGGGAGGGCGAAAAACGGGCCTACCGGAAGTTTGGGAAGGCCTTCGGGCCCGTTTCCGGCCTCTGGAGTCTGGGGGAGGCTGTTTTTGCCCTCCCGGATGCTCGAGAAAAGCCTCCGGAGCCCGGAGAGGGCAAAAACACTCCCCCCCCTGTGGTGCTGACTAGGCCACGCCCACTATTGCCACGCCCACCCAGCAGGGGGGAGGAGCTGGACCCCAACCAGGAACCCCAGGCCTTCCTGCTGCCAATGCAGGAGTCAGGGGAGCCCAGACAAAGCTGCTAGCCGGGCACCGTAAGTAGTCAATGGCTCTTCGTGTTCTCTAATTCAATTAAAGCCCCATTTATCGGAGCCAAGGGAGAGCTGCCTCTGCGGCTCTGGGTGACGTCAGCCGGAGACTCGGCTGTCCCAGAAGCTCCTGGTTCACCCAGCGGGAATCCGGCGGGTGGAGGGATCCGGTCTTTCCCAGAAGGAGCTGAGCAGCCTTTGCAAGAAGGACAAAGGGTCCCCCCTGAGGAGGTGCGGGGAGCATTCACCCTTTCTGCACACACTCCCCCACATACCTCCCCTCCCTCCGTGCATATTTCTCTCTTTCCCTTTCCTTTCCTTTCCTTTCCTTTCCTTTCCTTTCCTTTCCTTTCCTTTCCTCCCCTTCCTTCATCTCATTCTTCCTTCCTTCTCTCTTCCCTCCTTCCTCTCTTTCCTTTCCTTGCCTCTCCCATCCTCCTTTCCTTTCCCCTTTCCCTTTCCTTCCTCATTCCTTTCTCTTCCTTTCCTCCCTCCCCTCTCTTTTTCCTTCCTTCCTTTCAATGGGGCTGCAAAGCACCAGCTGATAAATGCTATCAGCCTCTGAGAAGCAAGGACGGGGGAGGCAAAGAGCCAAACCACCTAGCTACGGATTTTGGGAGGCGGGGGGGGGGGGGGGAAGAGATTTGACCTGGCTCTTCCTGTCTTCCTCCCAAACCGTCCTCCTGCTGCTTTCTCTCCCTGGGAGAATTCTCACCCTGCCTTCTCCACCCCCTCATCTCATCCAGCAATTAGTTTCTCTTTGCTAAAGAGAGAAGCTGTTCTCCATCCCTTTTGCGTCTCGTCTCGCTCTACAATGCGTGGGGGGAACCAGACGCTTCGGGAAAGGCTGCCGCCGCCACCCCCACTCAGGGTGGGAGAGGAGAGGAAGGGGCTGCCACTTCCGAGTCACCCTCCCCCTCCTCTTAGACCTCCTCATCTTTTCCAGGACCCCCTTCACAGATGGCTGGCACTTCCTCTATCTCCCCCTAAAAGGTAACCATTCCCCTCGCACATCTGTGCTAGTCGTTCCTGACTCTAGGGGGCGGTGCTCATCTCTGTTTCAAAGCCGAAGAGCCAGCGCTGTCCAAAGACGTCTCCGTGGTCATGTGGCCGGCATGACTCAATGCCAAAGGCGCACGGAACGCTGTTCCCTTCCCACCAAAGGTGGCCCCTATTTTTCTACTTGCATTTTTTTACGTGCTTTCGAACTGCTAGGTTGGCAGAAGCTGGGACAAGGAACGGGAGCTCACCCCGTTATACAGCACTAGGGATTCGAACCGCTGAACTGCCGACCTTTCGATCGACAAACTCAGCGTCTTGGCCCCTGAGCCACCGCGTCCCTCTATCTCCCCCTAGCAAGGGGAAAAAGAGGACCGAAGACGGATGCAAGTTCATAGATTCACAGGGTTCGAAGGGGCTTGGGAGGCCTTCTAGTCCACCCCCTGATCTGGCTGAGACGGGATGGTGGGGTGGGGCGAATGCCAGCCCCCTAGAAACTCATTTGGCAGGGGTGGGTGGCTGGGAGACTGAAGTGCCGATGACCCACAGCCTGATCTCTCGCTGGGATGACCAACCCTTCTTGGCTCGAAGAGGGCAGCTGGTCTGACACGATGCCATCCGATCGCCCAAGCTGGCCTCCGAGGCATTTTCCACCCACAAGGAGCCAGAGGGTTCCCCCCCACGGCCAGCCTGCCCTGGACTCTCACCTCACACTATCCAGGAAAGGCTTGTAAGCGATCGTGATCCATTCTTCCTTGTTAGCCGCGTATCTGGGCTCCCGGGGAGCTTCGTCGGGGCTGTCGAGATCCACCAGGTAGTGGCATTTGGAGATGTCGAACTGCGGGAGGAAAAGAGAGAGGAGAGGGTCCCTCAGGCTGCTGGGTGGGTTCTCTGAGCAAAGCTGCCTGGGCAGCAGCAAGCAAGGCAGCTGATCCCGGCCATGGCACGGGAACTCCTTCCTGCAAGGCTGTTTTTCTTGCAGACGTTTCCTGACCCAACTAGGTAACATCATCAGTGCTAAAAACATCCCCCCAGGAATGAATTAATCTGAAGAAGCTTCTTGGATGAGAAGGGGAAACATTTTCAAACAGACAAAAAAAAAAAGACCCCAAGAAATTCCAATTATCTTGGGGTAGAAACATTGTCAGCACTTCAACCTGCATTTACTCTCATGCTGACATAAGAAGGAGAAGCGAAGGCGTCTGGAAAGGGACGGCTGACTTTTCACCTACTTATTTTCCCTGGAGATAATCTCCCCTAGGAGATGGGATGGGAGGGGGGAAATTCCTTTGAGTTGGAGTAGATTAGGGGTAGAATGACTTGGAAGATGGCCAATGAGTGCAGGGGAGTGGGGAACGGAAAGGGAGGGTTTTGGGGCTGGAAGTCAGTGTTGGCTTCATATGGAGTCATGTTAGGATGTCGTGCTCAATAAAAAGGAGTTTTTTTCTGCAAAGATTCTGTTTGAAATGCACTTTATTCGAGACGACCACGAAACTTGACAAACATCATATTTCTAGCACCTCCACCATCCTCTGGAGTCCGTTGAAGCTCACGCCGACTGCTTCAGTGACTCCATCCAGCCACCTCCTTCTCTGCCGTCCCCTTCTTCTTTTGCCCTCAATCTTTCCCAGCATGAGGCTCTTCTCCAGGGAGTCCTTCCTCCTCATTAGGTGGCCAAAGCTGTCATAGCCCCCTACCAACTCTGAGCAACAACTTCCCCAATTTACAAAAAGTGTTGATTTGAGAGATTCGTGAAGGCAACAAAGTTAAGAGAAAATAAATGGCACGAGAGGAACCGAGTCTCACAGCAGGCAGAAAAAACACCTTCGGCGATCCAGATTCACTGCAGCGACCTAAACCTACCGAAGGGGGACAGAGGCCACCAATCAAACTGGCAAGACTTGGCCCCACTTTTGCAGAGGGGGGTGGGGGGGTGACGACGTACCGCGAGAGATGGGCCTAGATGAAAAGAAGACCCTCACCCTCCCCTACTTACGTATCTGGAAGGTTCTTCTTGGTTTTGATCGTTCATGTCCGTGGGAACGAGGCGGGTGGCCCCCGGGCCCTTGGCAAACGGTTTGGGCAACTGGCCCCGGAATTCGGAGGCAATGAACTGAAGCTGCCAGCTGCGGGAAGAAAGAAGGAATATAGGTTTTTATAAAGGGCATTCCTGGGCTTTTAAGTGAGTAAGCACAAGATGGAGGGAGGCAGAGGGGTGGGCTGGGGAAGGGCTGGCTGGCTTGTGGTGGAGGGGGCCCCCTTGCCATGGGTTCAAACGGGCTACGAGGCTCTGAGAAGTCTCTCCGTTGGGGGACACACTTCCAGTCGTGGGTGTCAACTTGCAAAGCTTTCAAGTTGCCATGAGCAGGAGGGAGGGAGAACTGATAGAGCTGATTGATTTCCCTAACTGAAGCTGCATTCCATACATTCTTCCTGACCGCAATCAGAAGGAGGGTGTTGGATTTCACAGCCAGCCAAAGTGGTTAATTGGAGAATGTGATTTATGACATGGCCAGGGAGGAGGGGAGAGACAGGGTCATAGGGGAACGTAAATCTACGTGGGATTAGTTCTAACTGCATCCGAATATTGCCGAAATGGTGCTCCTAATAAATGACTGTATTTCTTTTGAAGTTCGGCTCATGGCTCATGAATTAATTAGGGCATCTTTCGGAAACTTCACAGCGGGTTTGCTCAGGGCAAAGTGGAGCACCCGCGAACAATGACGGAACATCCATTGGCTGGAGTTGAGAGCAGCGTTATCTGGCTCTCCGTTGGTTTCAGGGATCTCTCTCGGGCAAGCACGTTTTAGTGCTCACGGACAATGTCACTACAAAGGCGCACATAAATCAGCAGGGGGGGGCACCAGATCCAAGTCCCTGATGCTGGAGGTGAGGAGGCTGGGACTTTGGGCAGAGAGACACCTTGGCTCCTTGACAGCGGAGCACATATCCAGGGTGTCCAATGTGCAGGCGGACCGGTTGACTCCCTCCCTCCCTTCTCCAACACTGGAGGTTTTTAAGAAGAGATATTTGTCTGAAGTGGTCTAGGGTCTCCTGTTTGAGCAGGGGCTGGACTAGAAGACCTCCAAGATCCCTTCCAGCTTTGTGATTCCCTTATGCTGTTACCCTTCCTTCCTTCCTTCCTTCCGTCCTTCCTCTTTCTTTCCTTCTTTCCTTCCTTCCTTTCTACCTCCCCTCCCCTCCCATCTTCCTTTCCTTTCCTTCCTTTCTCTTTCTTTCCTTCCTTCCTTCCTTTCTCCCCTCCCATCCCATCTTCCTTTCCTTCCTTCCTCTTCCTTCCTTCCTTTTTCTTCCTTCCTTCCTCTTTCTTCCTCCCTTCCTCCCTCTTCTTTCCTTCCTTTCTCCCTTCCCTTCCCTCCCCTCCCCTCTTCCTTTCCTTCCTTCCTTCCTTTTCTTCCTTCCTTTCCTTCCTCCCTCCCTCCCTCCCTCCCTCCCGTCTCCAACACTGGAGGTTTTTCAGAAGAGACATTTGTTTGAAATGGTCTAGGGTCTCCTGCTTGAGCAGGGGCTGGACTAGAAGACCTCCAAGGTCCCTTCCAGCTCTGTGATTCTATGGCTTCCTACCTCCCCAGGCTTCGTGGCCCAGGCAGGGTCCTCTTACTGCTGGCATGAGCGATACCTCCTGCGCCCCCAGGCAGTCAGCAAACTTCAATTTGGACCAGGAACTTACTTCTCCGGGAGGACGAAGCTGCTGGGAAACCGGTACCACTCCTTCCCAACACAGATGTGGACTGGCCTGCCTTCGGGCACGGTGTGGATTGTGGGATCCGTGGCAATCCTGTGGAACTCTGGGTAAAGGTCCAGAGGCCCGTGGTAACCTGGGCAGCAAAAGCAGCAAGTGGGAGGAAAAAAAAAGAGGAGAAAAGTCGACCACGGCTACTGAAAAAAATGGTAATCCTTTGAAAATTAGCTAATGTCCCCCTCAAACGCTTCTCCAACCAGATGTGTTCAGACAGAAAAAAATCCCAGAACTCCCCAAAAGTCCCAGGTTGGTTGAGGAGTTCAGGGAGATACCGCCACAATATTTGGGGAAGACCGGGCTGCTTGTCTTGGCTCAGTTTTTTCCCCCCACCCTTTAAGATGGGTGGACTTCAACTCCCAGGATCCCCCAGCCAGAAGGCTGAAGCCATTGCTCAAGCTTGTTGCTTGGGGGAATTCTGGGAGTTGAAGTCCACCAACTTCAGGTGACCAAGGGTGAAAAACACTCTGCTTATCTATGATAAGACACCCCCCTCCTCCAAATTATGCACTCAACGTAGGTTAGAACTCTGGAGAGTCAGGATAGGCCTCCCTCCTTGCACCCCCAAAACCTATAGGGAATCAAAGCCACGTTAGATAAAATCCTACTCAATCATCATTGCTGAATGATGAATCAGGGCCTAAATCCTTTGAGAAGCCTGATTGTAACCTGGCGGATCGCTGCAGGGGGTGGTAAGGGTGGGGGTTGGGGAAGAGGAACCGATCCATGCAGAGGATCTACTAGTTAATTGTTCTGTGTGGTCAAGGAAGAATGCGAACCCAGGAATGGGACAACTTGCCACGGCCAACTTGCTGTGACCAACTCACCGTGGCCAACTCACCGTGGCCAACTCACCATGATCAACTCACCAGTCAACTCAACATGATCAACTCACCAGTCAACTCAACTTGACCAACTCACCATAGCCAACTCACCATGGCCAACTCACCATGGCCAACTCACCATAGCTAACTCAACATGACCAACTCACCAGTCAACTTACCATGGCCAACTCACCATGGCCAACTCACCAGTCAACTCAACATGATCAACTCACCAGTCAACTCAACTTGACCAACTCACCATAGCCAACTCAACATGAACCAACTCACCATGGCCAACTCAATATGGCCAACTCACCATGGCCAACTCAACATAGCAACTCAACATGACCAACTCAACATAGTGAACTCAACATGACCAACTCAACATGACCAACTCAACATGGCAACTCACCATGGCCAACTCAATATGGCCAACTCACCATGGCCAACTCACCATGGCCAACTCAACAGTCAACTCAACATGACCAACTCAACATGACCAACTCAACATGACCAACTCACCGTGACCAACTCAACATGACCAACTCAACATGACCAACTCAACATGACCAACTCACCATGGCCAACTCGCTGTGGGAAAACTCCCCGCAGAACAATTCTAACTATTCTATTTAATGATTTGCAATAAATAAAAATTATTTTAATTTTTGCCTTTCCCATTTCATTCTGCCCCTCCTTTTGCAACCTTTCTTTAATGAGTCTATTCCACTAATTCTTTGATATTAGTGTAACTCTTGTCCCGTGGCAAGCTGGCCGTGGCGAATGGTCGTAGACTCCAGGATCCCTCCTTACTTTGCCTAAACCCACCTCTGAATAAAGCCACTGAGCGGGAGAAGGAGAGCAGGCCGAAGACCAGGACGGTGCCCAACGCCAGCCAGTTGGAAGAGACGGTGTAATGCTCCAGACGGTACCGTTGGAAGATGAAGTGATAACATTTCTGGAGGGGGACGAGGAGAGAGAAAAACATGAGCGCTGGGGAATTCTGGGAGTTGAAGTCCGTAAGTCTTAAAGTTGCCATAGTAGGAGACCCGCCCCCCAAACGCACCTGGAGGGCCGAGAGCCCCACCGCTCCGCAGAGACAAATCAGGGGGTAGATGGGGTACAGGAACCTCTCCTCTTTGTGGGGCTGGCTGAAGAAAATCAGGATCCAGACGTACATGGGAGAAAGCGTCAGCCAGTACGGGCGGCCCAGGTTTTGGACTGGAAGAAGAGACAGACCGGAAGAGGATCAGTGGCAGAAGGAACGAGAAAACTAGTTTTTTGTGTGTGTAGAGTTGTAAAATGTCAATTTGTGTTGTTTAATACTTTGATTACCATATTTTTCGGAGTATAAGACACACTTCCCCCCCTCCCTAAAAGAGGCTGAAAATTTGGGTGCGTCTTATACTCCAAATGTAGCTTTTTTAAAGCTTTTTTTCAGCCCTAACGAGGCGCTAGCAAGTGAAGCGATCTTCCGTGCTTTGCCTGCTTTTCTCATTGCTTCTCTCTCCAACGATCAGCTGTGCTTTAGAAGCTGTTTTTTATCCCCAACCAGGGATAAAAAACAGCACAAGCTCAAAACCAGCGAACTAATGTGCTGGAGCTGACTAGACTAGCCAGATGAATACCTGGTAGGCAGAATTTTTTCCCCCCTATTTTCCTCCCCAAAAACTAAGATGTGTTTTATACTCTGAAAAATACAGTATTTTTCTATTTGTCTCTGTATAAACTGTAAGCGGGCCGGAGTTGCCTTATAAAAATTGAATAAAATAAATACCGTATTTTTTGGAGTATAAGACGCACCTTTTTCCGCCCTAAAAGGGGTGAAAATTTTAGGTGCATCTTATACACCGAATGTAGCCCCACCCACTCATTGGCCCCCACCCTCTGGCCTCTACCTCCCAGCAGTTTACCTCCAGTTGGTTTCAGCTTCAGCACAGCCTAATTAGCACAAGCTGATTGGATCGGCCTCCAGACTCTCAGCTGTTTTGCTCTCAGATGTTTCGCGCAGGGCTCTGCTGCTTGCTGCAAGGAAGTAAATTGCTGGGAGCAGATTTTTTTTTTTTTCTTGTGCTAATCAAGCTATGCTGAAAACGAAAATGAAAGTAATGGAGGCTGTTTGCTGTAACGAGGCAAAATTGCTGGGAGGCAGAGGCAGATTTCTTTTTCTTCTTTTCCTCACCAAAAAAGGTAGGTGCGTCTTATAGTCCGAAAAATACGGTAATAATAATAATAATAAATAAATGGAGGAGGAGGAGGCTTTTTGGATGGAGGGACAGGCTCTTTCCTGAACCAGAAGGAGGTCTTCTGTGCTTGGAAGGCTTGGTCAGAGCAGGCCATCCAGATGCTTCCTCTTTGGAGGCAGGGACAGATGCTGAGAGGGTGTCTGCCCAGGGACTCTTCCCCCACAACCCAGGGTGTCGAGGTCTATGGGGCTCACCGCGAAACTTCTGCAGGAGGCTCTCCATCAGGCAGGTCAAGGGCAAAGCCAGCAAGGCGAGGACGAAGGCCACGTTGAAGTTCAGGAAGCCGTTGATGAAGTAGAAGGACCAGGGCTCCGTGCCTGCAAGGAAGGAAAGGAAGGAGAAAGAGGTCAGGAGCTCTCTGGAGGCTCTATCCCAGCCAGGAGCTTGTGCGTGTGACGTGATTGCTTTTTGGCTGACTTCCAACAAGCAAAATTTTATTTCTATGGGGGAATAAAACCCGGGGAAGGGGAAGGAAGACCATGCAATCTCCCCACCGCTGCCCCCAAAACGTTTCCTCCTGCCTGCAGGTAGACTCACCGTAAAGGTCTGGCCCGTGTGGGGTGAAGATGTTATACAAGACGATGTTCAGAGGAGCTACCACCAGCTTCCCATAGTGGTAGCTATCGATGGCCACCATGGGCACCTTCATTGAGAAACAAGCCACCATTCAAAGCTTTGTCCTGCACTTTGGACCAAGGCCGGCCAGCGCTTGGGATTCCCCGGTTTGGAAAATGCAGGACAGAACGCAGACGGGCTGCTTCCGGTTTGGACCGGTTCGCACGTACCGGTAGTTCCAAACACTGGCTGGGCCGGCCTGCCCACCAGCCCCGGTTGCTATCCCATCTTATAGATATCTCACTCTCTGGTTCGCTTGCCCCCGTCCACGCAGCCCAGCTGATTTCCGTGCCTCGCTCGCTCTACTCCCCGCGGCCACCTGAGAAGGTGTGCTGGAAGCCACACGTATGAAATTGCCGTGTGTTTGAAGCTGCGCGCAAGGGCGGAAGACGAGTACGCCTGCGTGCGCTCACTTTTTCAGTTCTGCACTAGGTGAACTGGTTGTTAAATTATGTGAAGCCCACGGCTACTTACCCCGTTTCCCCGAAAATAAGACCTCCCCTGATAATAAGCCCAATCGGGCTTTTGAGCGCATGCGCTAAAATAAGCCTCCCCCCCCTTGAAAATAAGCCCTCCCCCAAAATATTTAAATGCAGAGCTGGAAATCAGGTAAGACAGCAAGAGGAGCCCCATCTTGCTCCACGCGCCCTAAAATAATAAGACCTCCCCGAAAATAAGGCCAAGCGCTTATTTGGGGGTTCAAAAAAATATAAGACAGGGTCTTATTTTCGGAGAAAAATGGTAGCGTAGTGAATGAAGGAGTCTTTGTTTTTAAGGGCAAAGGGTGATGTAGAAGCCCACCAAAAGCAAGGGTTGAGAGGTGCTCCCTTTTCACCCATGCTGACCTTGGAAGACTCACCAGAAACACCAGTAGAGACACCAAAGACCACTGCAGGAAACTCTTCCACCGTCTTTTCAGGACCAGCAAGTCGAAGGCAATTGGGAGGCTGCCCAATGGAAGACCGAGGGAGGTATTAGTGAAGGTGCGGCAAACTATTTCAGCTCAACGTCATACCCAATACCCCGATTCTACCACATAACTCCCAACGACCGGTAAGATCCCACAGAGTTGGTCTCCTCTGGGTCCCGTCAGCTAAACAAAGCCAGCTGGCGGGCCCGCGGAGGAGGGCCTTCTCTGTGGCTGCCCCAGCTCTCTGGAACCAGTTACCTCCTGAGGTCCGGACCGTCCCTACCCTATTGGCCTTCCGGAAAGCGGTGAAGACCTGGATTTTCCGGCAGGCCTAGGGCCGTTGATCTCGCTCTTGCGATCCGGCGAGATCCGGCCATGAATGGAGTGTATGGGTTTTAATGTTTTTAATTTTTAAATGTTTTTTTATAATGATTTTAAATGCATTGTGAGCCGCCCTGAGTCTTCGGAGAGGGGCAGCATACAAATTGAATTAACAAATAAATAAATAAATTAACAAATAAATAAATTAGGAGCCTGAGTGGCGTAGGAGGCTAATGCCTCCTACTAAGGCAGCATTTAACATCCAGCTGCCTGCAATTACCGCGAGTTCAATTCTCACCAGGCTCAAGGTTGACTCAGCCTTCCATCCTTTCTAAGGTAGGTAAATTGAGGACCCAGATTGTGGGGGCAATAAGCTGACTTTGTATAAATATACAAAAGTATGAAGGCTATTGCTTAACGCATTGTAAGCCGCCCTGAGTCTTCGGAGAAGGACGGCATATAAAAATAAATAAATAAATAAATAAATAAATAAATAAATAAATAAATAAATAAATAAATAAATAAATAAATAGATAGATAGATAGGTAGGTAGATAGATAGATAGATAGATAGATAGATAGATAGATAGATAGATAGAATCAAGGAATTACCAACTCAGACAAATAGTAATCAACAGCCTAATCCAAAGAAGCACCAAGGTGACTCCCACCAACATGGACAGAGCCAGCCACCAGTACATCAATAGAGCAAACCCTTCTAGCATTGATGATGTTACTACCTAGTTGGGTCGTGAAATGTCTGCAAGAAAACAGTCAAGCTCAGAGAACACCACAATCCTACAACTTCTTCCTCCTCTTCCTCCTTTCCACAAAGCCCCCTCCCTTCTAGCACTGAGGATGTTACCTAGTTGGGTCATGTCTGCAAGAAAACACCCAGGCTCAGAGAGGACCAAGGAGCCCACGACTCCCTTCCTCCTCTCTTTCTTTTTCTCCTCCTCCACTCTACACATCCTAGTCTCTTCTAGCACCGCCGACATTACCTACTTAGAAAGACGGTGTTTGGGAAGCATCCTCCAATCCCAGTTCCCGAACGACCCTCCGGAGCTGAGTTTTTCAACCTTGGCCACTTTCAGATGGCCGGACTTTCAATTCCCAGAATTCCCCAGCCAGCACAGCTGAAGTCCACTCATCTTAAAGTCGCCAAGGCTGAGAAACAAGCCTCTGGACGCTTCTGTTCACCGCCTGCCATCCTGAAACAAATCCGGCATCCCTCCTTCTGTTTCCCCCCACTTACCCCAGTGCTGCGCTGAATGGCCAACCCACAATGGCTCCGGCGGCCACACCCAGGACTGCCAAAGATGTTCGGTCCGTGTACCAGCCTGTCATGGCTACGATGGTACAGTACATGCAGAAGCTGCTGGGAAGGAAGGCTGCAAAAAAGAAGAGGAGGCAGAAGAGTTTGGCAACCGGAAAGTGTTCTGACCCGGCTCCTGAACACGAAACGTTCCCTTTCGTAGGAGCGCCAGCCGCTGCGCTCTCACAGCAGACACACCCAGAAGGCGCTGCAGATTCCAAGAAGAATTCTGATCATTCCGAGACAGGATTTGGAAGTATAGGATATCAGTGGCGGACAGGCAGGGAGATGGAACAGTTGTCTGCCACACCTATTCGTCTCCGCCCCCTGCCGTTTATCCCCCGAGGTAGGCTGGAGCTTCGCTAGCAGTCCCAAGGACCGGCCCATAGATTTCCACTGCTCTCCTCTCCTCTGCCTTCTGCTTATCCATGTTGTGGTCCACCAGCAGCCTGCGGAGCTGGCAGCGGAGTCGGACAGTGAGGAGGCTGGGGAGGAACTTGGGCCAGTCCTGGAGTCTGGGGAAGGCCTGGACGAGGGCTCTGTGTCAGAGGCAGAGATGGAACAGGCTCTTCCTGTTCCTTTGCCTCTCGGCTGTCCACCTCCGGAGTCCGTGCATCGCTCCCCGATGGCCCTGGCCCCATCTCTGCCTCCGACGCAGAGGCCTCCTCCGGACCTTCCCCAGCCTCCAGGACTGGCCCATGTTCCTCCCCAGCCTCCTCACTGTCTGACTCCACTGCCAGTTCCACAGGCTGCTGGTGGACCACAACACCTTGCTTAAGGACTGCGCTGCTTAACGAAGGATTTTTCCAGCCCCGGTTAGTTGCTCGTAAGTTGAAAACCGGATGTACTTAGTCGAAACGCAAAATTGGTCCCCGCCCGACACCTTTCTTAACTCACCTGAGGCTGAGCAGAACATCCCGCTGCTAAGTATCAAGAAAGCCAGCATAAGCCTGCTCACGTGAAGGCCAAACTTCTTGCACACTGCCCTGAGAAACAGAGGAGAGAAACGGAGCCTCTTCTGGTGGTGCTAAGCATTTAAGGACGGCTCACCTACAGTGGGCTGCTGCCGGTTCGGATCGGTTTGCACGAACCGGTAGTTCCGAGCACTGGTTGGCCCCGCCCACCTGCCCCAACGCTATCCGGTCCTCGATATCTCCGGCTCGCTCGCCCCACCCCGTCGCCAAACTAATTTGCGCGCCTCTCCTACTCTACTAACCGTGGCTGACCTAGCAGTTCAGCCTCAGATTCCCTCGAGGCACCAGCCCTTCATCACCCTCAAAGCAGCAGAGACATACTGTAATATTATGGGATAGCAGTTATGATTGTGCCCAATTCATCTAATATTGTAATGCTTTTAAAATAACGGTAGCGTTGGGGGGTTTTTTGGCTCAATAATCTGGATAAAACAATCCAGAAACTGAAAGCAGTTTTCAGGATTTTTAATGATTCAGGCCTTTCGGTGTGGCCAGGGTGGATAAAAATCAATGATTTTTTGTAAAAAAATCAAAAAAATCAGATTTTTTTAAAATTTAAATCGGATTTTTTTTTATTTAAATCAGATTTTTTTGATTTTTGTCGAATTTATTTTAATAAAAAACTTTTGGGGTAAAAATCTATGGTAAGATAGTTTTCTATTTAAGATACATAAATAATTTAGTTTATTCAGCATGAAATGGAGCTTAGTTATGTAGCATGAGGCTGTATATTCTGCAGCACTGGTACTATCGGTGAGTTAACAGTGGGTCAAAGGAGTAGCAGAGATGACAGTTGCTCTTTAAAAAATTATGATTTAAATCGAGTCTTTTTACTAGTGATTTAAATCATGATTTAAATTGTAATTTAAATCAACTCGATTTAAATCAAATACACCTTGGGTGTGGCTGATATGAATATCCTGAAACACGCCCAAGAGTTTTGTCACCACAACCAAAAGTATATATAGCTAAAGTTGAATGGGCAGGTATGAAACTTGAAACTTGGGATTTTTCCCGGCAGACATCTCATTACCAGGCCACGTCACATCATCAGTGAATGGGGGAGTGAAGTTTGCTGGCTGTTTATATAGAGTTGCTTGCCAATGCACAACACACGTCTGGTGTGACCTAGTCTGGTAAGGAACGTCTGCAGGAAGCTCACCAAGATAGGAGACTACTAGGAGCCAACATTTTTTGCTGCTGTGATTTGCTGTAACCATTACATAGCAGATGGAGAGTGGTTGGGTGGCTTAGAGGTGGAGTTCTCGCCTCACAATCAGGAGGCTGTGAGTTCGATCCTAGGTAGAGGCAGATATTTCTCTCTCTGGGCACAATGAGAATATATCTGCAGAACAAAACTCCGCATCGGCGACGGGAAAGGCATCTGGCCAGTAAATACTCAGCTAGCTCCATTCAGTGGCCCTGACTCCACCCCGCAAAGGATTACGGGGTCATTAAATGACAAACATTACATAGCAGATGGAGAAATGCCCCTCCCACAGATCTTCCTCGACAGCTGCACAAAGATAACCGAGGAGGCCCTCGACGATACTCACTTGTAAAAATAAAGCTCGCAAACGCAACTCAGGAAAGCCAAAAGGCAGCGCAGGAAGTAGAAGATGAGGACCTAGGAAGAACAGCTCCTGTTACAAAATTTCTAGAAACAGACAGTGGCTGCGTTCACACAAAATGCAGGATGATTTGCACAAATGCAGGAGCCTTGGTGGTGCAGTGGACTAAAGTGCTGTTAAGTAGCACTTAGCTGCCAGCTGCCTGCAATTACTGCGAGTTCAAATCTCACCAGGCTCAAGGTTGACTCAGCCTTCCATCCTTCCGAGGTAGGTAAAATGAGGACCCGGATTGTGGGGGCAATAAGCTGACTTTGTATAAAAAAAACACCACTTAGGGGGGCCAAAAGCCCTACTAAGCAGGTATATACAAAAGTATGAAGGCTATTGCTTAACGCATTGTAAGCCGCCCTGAGTCTCTGGAGAAGGGCGGCATATAAATCGAACCAATAAAATACAATAAAATAAATGATAAAGCTACCAGTTTTTTCTCCTCCCCCCCCCCAAACTCGATCCAGTTTGCCATTCGGTATGTCCGTTAGGTTGATTAAATCGTGTTTCGATTTAGACCTGGGTTGAATAGGTGCAGAAGAGCAGAATCGGAGGCCTTGGAGCTGCCTCCCTCCCATTAGGAGCCTTTTCCCCCCAGCCCGGGCATGGGGGAATTGCCAATAAAACCGCAACTTCCCCCCAAAGACGAAAAGAAGCAGAGAGCCCAGCTCGACAACACACAATGTTTAAAAAGGGGCAAGAGCTCTCCCTACTGGCCAGGAACACAAAAGGAGGAGGAATCAATCGCAGAGACAAGGGACTTAAGACAGAGCGGGCTTAAGGAAGAAAAATTAATGCATACAGATAGTCCTTGACTTACGACTGGTCCCTTAGCAAGCGTTCAAAGTTACGATGGACATTGAAAAGGGATTTATGACCTGCATTTTGGGTAACTGGCCTGCATTTACGACCATTTGCGACATCCCCAGGTCATGTGGGGATGTCGCAAATGGTCAAAATCTAGATAGCAAATGGTCGCAAATCTCGACAGCGCACTAAAAAGCAGAGACATCACCCTGCCAACAAAAGTGCGTATAGTCAAGGCGATGGTTTTCCCAGTTGCAATGGATGGCTGTGAAAGTTGGACCATAAGGAAGGCTGAGAAGGCCAAAGAATGGAGGCCTTTGAACTCTGGTGCTGGAGAAGACTTCCACGAGTCCCTTGGACTGCAAGGAGATCCAACCAGTCAGTCCTAGAGGAGATCAACCCTGACTGCTCTTTAGAAGGCCAGATCCTGAAGAGGAAACTCAAATGCTTTGGCCACCTAATGAGAAGGAAGGACTCACTGGAGAAGAGCCAAATGCTGGGAACGATGGAGGGCAAAAGAAGAAGGGGACGGCAGAGAAGGAGGTGGCTGGATGGAGTCACTGAAGCAGTCGGCATGAGCTTCAATGGACTCCAGAGGATGGTAGAGGACAGGAAGGCCTGGAGGAACGTGGTCCATGGGGTTGTGATGGGTCGGACACGACTTCGCAACTAACAACAACAGGTCATGTGACTCTGATTCGTGTTACCTTGTTTGTTTGGAGAACTCTAGCATGGAAGAGGGCCGGCAGAGCATGGAGCCACAGGTACGCATAGGAGCGAATGGCATAAACCGGAGAATATTCCCACGTCTGGAATCCTTTGCCATAAACGAGGTAGTGCATCTACAAAAGAAACTCACAACGAAAAAAATGTCCAACGTTTTGCTTTCTACAACATACAAGGCATACAAGGAAGAATACTAAGCACTCAGCCCAGACCTGACAAAGTGTCTATGGAGAGTCTCAATCATTCAGGTCATGGTTGTCCCAAAGATTGGGGGGGGGGGGGGGGTTTCCCCCCCCCAAAAAAAGGAAACTGGACTTTCTTGGGGTTTTTGTTGTTGGAAAACATTTCGCTTCTCATCCGAGAAGAACCAAAGAAGCCAAACGAAGCAGAAAACCCCAAGAAAGTCCGGTTGCCTTTTTGAAAAGTACCTGTTTGGGATACCTGTCAGTCATCAAGGAGGATATGGGAGGCATTTTGGTACCCTGATGATTGCCCTAGGCCAGGGTCAGCAACCTGCGGCTCTGGAGCCGCATGTGGCTCTTTCATCCCTCTGCTGCGGCTGCCTGTTGCTGGATAGCTCCACAATTGATAGGGCTTTCGATTAGGACAGGTAGAGGAAAAAGGTTGCCGCGCTAGGAAGAGACTGTATGATGGGGGAACCGGACTTCCGGTCAGCTCCAGAATTGAATGGGGGCTTCCAATTAGTACCTTTGTGAGTGTTTAAGGTTGCCGACCTCTGCCCTAGGCCTAATACAGGGGTTAGCAACCTGCAGCTCTGGAGCCACATGTGGCTCTTTCACCCCCTCTGCTGCGGCTCCCTGTCACTCAAAATATGCATCACAACCACTAATGTGTGACACCCACCCGGCACACGATTTATTGAGCTTTTCAACCCCCGGTAGGCCAACGATGGATAAATCCAAGAAAAGAAAAGTTTCGGAAGAAAAAAATAACATTTAATTCAACTACATAAGCTAGTTTTGTGGCAGCTCAAGAAACAGTCAGGCACGGAAAAGGGTTTTGTGGCTCCCGGTGTTTTTTTTTTTCTGTGGGAAACTGGTCCAAATGGTTCTTTGAGTGTTTAAGGTTGCAGATCCCTGGCCTAGGAAGCTAATCTCTACAGGATCCGTGACCTGATTTCAAAGGGTTCGGCTGAGAGCAAGTCAAGACCTTTAAATCCAGCAAGTGATTAAAGAGGCCGATGAAACATTCACTCTCCTGAAAGCTAATAAGAGGTGTATTATTATCACAGGCAAGAACGATACTCACAGGTTCCCAGTAGTTAAAGGTTTCATCGCAGTCCGAGATGTTACTTAGCAGAGCTGCGCAGAACCTGGCTGAGATTAGACACTTGAAAGCCGTCGATCCTTCCGGAGCCCAGACGTGACCTGCTTTGGTTCCTGAGGATCTAAGAGAAAAGCAAAGCGGCTGTTATTAACCCTGTAAAAGGAAGATGGAGAGCAAGGAGAGAAATGAGAGAGAGGAGGAAAAAGGGTGCTGCTTGGACAGCTATTCTGGCTTTCGGATACCAATGGAGCATCCGGAAAGGCTGATGAAGACATCAGAGGGCCAAATTGGGGCATTTAAGGCCTAAAAAAAGGATGAAAATGCTCCCTTGGATCCGAACCTCACTTATTCTTCACTTAAATGCTACTCTTATTTTAAGTCAGAGCTCCCCAAACTTGGCCACTTTTAAAAAGACTTGTGGACTTCAACTCCCAGAATTCCCCAGCCAGTATATTAGGTATTCTTTGAAAACTTGGGGTTTTCTGGCTGGGAATCGTGGGAGTTGAAGTCCACGTCTTTAAAAGTGGCCAAGTTTGGAGAGCCCCGTTTCAAATCAATCAAATGCCACCTCTAAGGTTTAAAACTGGCCTGTCCTATAAAGACCAAACCCCTCCCCCACCTGTAGGGGGAGAACCTGGTTAAAGGGACTTATTAAAAGTTTTTTTGTGTGTGTGCAAAATTATGATTTGTGGATGGGAGAAATTTTTAAGTTACCTTTCCTCTTGTCAAACCCTTCCCCTGTAGGGGAGAACCTAGTTAAAGGGACTTATTAAAAGTTTTTTTTGGGGGGGGGTTGTGCAAAATTATGATTTGTGAATGGGAGAATTTTTTTTAAAAAAAAAACAAACAAACATAAAATACATCTTTTCAGAACGAGCCATTGATCCGGTCAAAAATAGGTACAATTATTAACTCCTGTTTAACAAAAGCTTTATCCAAATCTCCCCTAATTACCATTTTATAACAATAAAAATAAACAAAAAAAGAATGCCTAATTTATAATGATTTACTCGAAACAATTACCTTTCTATTGTTTCACCTCAATCTTAATTTTCAAATAACACAACTTAAATATTTTACATCATTATTACCCTAAATTCTATCTATTCGACAATGCCACTATCTATCCTAAAACCCATTACTTAAATCTTAAAGTCCTAAACCAATATTATTTCAATTTTCTTTTCCCTACAATTACAAAGAATATTTAGTCAATATTTTAACTATGGGTTGGGGTTTTTTTGGGGGGGGGGGAGAATTGTGATTTGTGGATGGGAGAATTTTTTAAAGTTACTTTTCCTCTTGTGGATGCCACTAGGATGGGCACCCCAAGGCTGGCCATGGAATGGATTAGATTTGATTCAGGTTCACTGAATCCCTAGTACAGGTCTCCTGCGAGAGCAGCGGGTTGGACTAGATGACCTCCAAGGTCCCTTCCAACTCAGTTAGTTACTGAAGTATTGCAAGCTCATTCCTTCTCCCCCTTTTTCCAAATGGGGGGGGGCGGGGGTGTCTTCCTTTCTACCACTCTGGTAGCAGAGGTAGATGGATCGAAACCATCCTCTGCTACCAGGTGTCAGGGCGTCGATTATCCCAAAGGCAGAATGGGCTTAATCAGCGCCCTGACACCCCCCTCCCCATTTACCACCACCCCCAAGCCAGCCAGCCCATAATACCCTCGTTCTATTAATAGCACAAGAAAGACAAAACCGCCCCCCTCCCCTTTGGAAGCCTGGGTTCTCAGCGGCGGGTGTGGGGGGGGCAGTAAACTACAACTCCCAGCATCCCTCAGTACCTCCAGCCTTGTAGTTGAAGGCTGAAGACACTGAGGGGTGATGGGAGTTGTAGTCCAAACCACCCCCGGAGAGCCCGCTGGGGCAGAAACCAGGCCTTCCCTCCCCGCTCTCGGCCCCTACTCGGCTTTGTTCTCCTCGGCGGGCGTCTGCGGCGGAGGAGGACCCTCGTCTCGCTGCCGGGCGGGCGCCGCCGAATCCCCGCCGCCCCATCGAGGCCGCTGCCGGGCCCCCTTGGCTGCCATGCCGAGTGTGGGCAGGCGGCCGGGCTCGTGGCGCTCAGTGCGGGGACGCGACGCCGCCCGACGCCATCTTCAGTGTGGGCACGGCGCAGGCGCAGTTGCTTTTTTAAAATCCTTCCCCCCCCACGCCTTGCTCTTGCGGGCTCGCGCGGCGCTTTGGTGCAGCAAGAAAAGGCAGGGAGTCCCATAGGCGGGGCAGCTGCAGGGCCTAATGGGAAGAGCTCCCCCCCCCCTCTCTCATTTGCACCCCGAAGGTCCTTCCGTCTCTAAATTGCCTTCCCCCACCCCGCCCCCCGAGATTGGTTTTCTCCATTGTGGGCAATGGGGTGCAATTGCAAAGGACGGAAGGATGTGATTGCTTTTTTTGTAGAGGCGATGCTTGCTAGGCTCATATATGCTCATGCTTGGTGCATAGGAGAGCACGTGCACCAAAGACAAATTCCTTGTGTGTCCAATCACACTTGGCCAATAAAAAATTCTATTCTATTCTATTCCATTCCACTCCATTATGCTATGCTATGCTGCTATTCTATTCCATTCCATTATTCTATTCTATTCCATTCTATTATTCTATTCTATTCCATTATTCTATTCTATTCTTACTCCATTCCATTATTCTATTCTATTCTATTCTATTCCATTCCATTATTCTATTCCATTCCACTATTCTTCTATTCTATTCTATTCTATTCCATTCCATTCCACTCCATTATTCTATTCTTATTCCATTCTATTATTCTATTCTATTCTTATTCCACTCCATTATTCTATTCTATTCTATTCTATTCCATTCCATTCCATTCCATTCTATTCTTATTCCACTCCATTATGCTATGCTATGCTATGCTATTCCATTCCATTATTATTCTATTCTATTCCACTATTCCATTCCATTCCATTATTATTCCATTCCATTCCATTCCATTCCATTCCATTCCATTATTCTATTCTATTCTATTCTATTCTATTCTATTCTATTCTATTCTATTCTATTCAGCTGTGCTGTTCAATCTAATAAATAAATTGAATAAGTAAATAAATAACTGCCTGTCAAGGAAACTGTTTTAATGTTTTATTTTATTTAAATTCCAGCTTTCTTATTTTTATAAACAACTCGAGGCGGCCAAGACATCCAACACACCTCCCTCGTCCTCCTTTTTCACCCGCCCTGCCAAGTTCTCCTCCTGGTCCTCCTACCTAACAACCACCCGGAGACAACGCTGCAGTTCTTCCCTCAGCGCCATCTGCATGGCCGCCGCCTGGGGGCGAGCGAGCGCTTTGTCGCAAGACTGGTATGTGAGCCTGTAGCACAGGCTGATGGCGTGTGCTGCGCCCGGGTGCCGAAAACGGTCAAGCAGCTGGACAGACGCAACCGTGTCCAAAGACGCACGCCTGGCAATGGCGTGAAGCTGGATTTCATGGAATGTTTCTGCCTCTGGAAGCCAGAAGCTGATGTCGTGCACGTACGTCGGCGGGTGGAGGGAAAAGCTCTGGAAAACGCCTAAACGGCCCCCAAAAAACTGGCTCGCAAAACGCTCATCCGAAGTCCAAAGCATCCGCCAGTCAGAAATGCCACACGCGCACATCGCCAGAAGATCGAGGTTCAAAGAAACGCAAACCATGTTTTGATTAACGCTTGAAGGTTGCCACCGAACGGTGCTTATTGTCCCGACGCGAAATTCTTTGGGGCCGGAATCCAAGCCCTGGCAGCTCAGAGTCACAGCGTATTTTGGGTTGAGCAGAAACGGTTCGGAAGAAGGTAGGAAGGGATTCTGCTGACGGCTTTCTGTCTCCTGGTTCAGAGAGTCCAACTTAACATTGGATGATCGCAGTAAAGAATTCAATGTGCCTATGAGGCTTTCCATCAGGAGCTGTGAGTCTTCTACGTCTTCCTTAACTGCGCAGATAAAGAGGGCCTCATGAAAAATGGGAGGCACGTGAACAGAAATTTTACATTTTTTAAAAGCCAGTCCACTCAGGGCCAACAAACTCTGAGGGGAAAAATCCCTCTGCTTTACAATAGAATGAAGAAAAACCAACAGGGAAGGCCGAAGGTAATATTGTCCTAAGGTCCAACTCAAATCCTGATCCTCATCAGTTCCCGTGTCGCTTTTAGAAGCCACAGACTTAATTTCAGGGCGAGTTTTGGCAACAGGAACCATCCAAATGGCGTCCAATGAAGGAGAAGCAGAACCATCTTTGAATACTAAGGGAAATGAAGAATTCGCCTTCTGAATCGTGAACGATCTGCCGAGGCCATCAATTAGTTTTTCATTTATGGTTCTCACAGGATGATTCGAATTAATACCTAAGTAGTTCCTAGTTCAGATTATGAAAATATTAGAAAAAAAAGAAGTATTAAACAGGGCAAGCCACTAACCTCAGATGTTGTACTTTCAAAAACAATAAATTATTGATGGAGCAGTAAATGTGAATGTGTTACGATTTTTAGCCCATTCCTTAGTATTATTCGAGTTTCTCAGATGTCAGTCCAAAAGACATCTGGATACCAAGGGGAAATGTAGACCCCCCTTAAATGTTCCATTTAAGAGCATATCAGCCAAGGTGATTACATTATGCAGAGATCAGACTCAAAAGGATCTGGAAATTTTGCTGCATACCTGTTTATCTTATCTAGGAACATCTGTGGAATTTGGCAGGACACTGATTCGCCTTCCAGCTCCACTTTGCAAATTGAAGGTTGAGAATGCAGAAATGGCACACTCCGGGTGAATATGTGATTCAGGGCGCCTTCTATGAAGAAAGATTTATCCTGATTCCTAGGAAGAAAGCAGATTAAGTATGGAGGCAGAAGAATCAGTGCTTTTCGTTTGTACAATTAGCTGAACCAATTGAAAGCAAACCAATGGAATCCAAAATACAGAAGGTTAACGTTGAGCTGGCTGAAGCACCAGGCAAGATTCATACTGAAAGGTGTCAACAGAACAATATTTGTGAGACAAAGGAGCTGTTGTCCAACATTTACAGAAATAATTCAGTTAAGGAAGGCTGTATAGCTCTGATTATTCCCCAAATTTGTATAGTTTTACTAGAAATTTAATCTGTTCCTTCAATAAATTTCCCCCCACAAAGGCCTGAGAACCAACAGAGTCATAAATTTTTTCTGCTAGAGATGATAGAAATTTAAATATGGGACATATTAGTTTTATAAGGAATAAATTCTGTATGTGCAGTTTTCACCCACAGAATTTGCACGATGCTTCCCAAAAGAGACAGGAGCACTTAGTAATAAGGCCCTTTCTTGTGCAACATCCAAGATGGCACCTGGAATAGGGTCAACCATAGCTTACCTGTAGCCTGTACATTTATATCCACTGACGTCTCTGATATTAAATGGCTCGATGCCGCTCAAGATGAATCCTGCTTCTGCTGCCATCTCCACAACTTGCCAGCTGTTGTGCCACTCACGCACCGGCTGGTCTGCAGGGGTACCCCCTTGTCCTTTGCAAAGTGCCACATGGACGTCTCCTTTCTCTGCCAGAACATCTGCACAGCTGGAACAACGAAAAAAGAGGGGTGTAATTGCCACGCAGCTAATGTAGCAAGCTGTCCTTCTCAGAATTTTTTTTTAAAAGAAAAAGGAAAAACAGCTCCAAAGGCGTCTTTGGACTTCTGAAATATTGTTTTGCATAAAAATCTTTGCTGTTGGAGGTGCATACAGGGATAGCAAGACCAATAACCAAAGCCATAGAAATCCTCAATTATATTTCCTCTGCCGATACCATGTTGTATCCAGCAGCTCTTTGCACAATGCTTTTAAGAGTGTTACTCTTAAGATATCTTAACAAGATATGCCTGTTTAGAAGATCAAAAAGTAGCTATATCTTCTTAACATCTTATATTTTGAGGCTTCTATTGCAAACATAATGGTCTTGAAACAGACACACTTATGGAAGCAGAAAAAGGTACGCAGCCTTGCCTTGTCTCACCTGCAGAAAAACCTGGCAAGAAGCTCCCTGTTCTTTTTTATTCCAGCCTTTTTTCCACAATGGGGGAAATTGAAATAAATACGGTCAAAATTCCTCATAGCCGGCAAGAAGTATTCCTTCAGTTTTGTGCAGTTGACAGAAAAGTAGACTTCAGCACCTGGATCATTAAAAGAACAATAACGCAGTTTAACAGGGTTTTCCCCAAGTAACAAAATATAAGAACAACAAAAATGCAACAACAACAACAACAATACTGCTTCCCCCACACCTCGTTTACCTTTGTCTCTCAGAAACTGTATGTTGGATTTGGTGAAAGCTTGCTCCAATATAGACTCTTCACTACCATAGCAGGTTGCAATAATATGAGTGTCAACGCCTCTCTCTTTGTACAGATGGACCGAGAAGGAAAAGTTTCCTTCCCCAACCAGGAGGAAACGTGCTTGTTGATGCTGCATGGAGGAAAACATTCACCGTCAAAAGCCAGAGTCCGGACTGCAGAAGACTTCAGGGGATTCTGCTCCTTTAGTCTGGTGCTTCTGAGGCAATCGGCCGAATCATTTTTGGAATAGGAAATGAGGAGATGCAAGTTGCCGAATTCACCAGAATCCTTGGTTCTATAGCAGAGAAGCAACCAAGCATCGCTCAGCGCCAGCCAGGGTAGACAAATAGCTTGCAAATGGGGAGGCTGTGCCCCAAATCTTGCAGGGCTCCTGCTGGATTAGAGAAAGATCTTGGTCCTCTGGCAAATCTACCTCCAAGGATGCTGCAGGAGTGAAACCAAGGAGGTAAAATGTCACAGTTCGGGTTGCTTTTGCACAAAGAAGCAATAGGTGGAAAATTTGATCAAAAGGAAATCCAGCCTGGAACTAAGGAGGAATTTCCTGAAGAGCGAGAACAATTAATCAAGGGAACAGCTTGCTTCCCAGAATTATGGTTGCTCCATCGCTGGAGGTTTTCAAGGGAGAAAAAAAAAACTGGACAATTATTTATCCAGGATAATAATTGGGCAGAGGGGGGCTGGACTAGATGACCCCCAAGGTCCCTTTGAAGCCCTATCAGCCTACGATTTCATTCCACTGCTTTCTTTCAAACCACACCTCAGGGGTGTTTATATATTATATTATTTGTAATATATTATTGTAATATGTTACATTATTGTAATATATTACATTTCTTTTCTTATCACTAAGCAAAGGACAGGCTGACCCCTGGCTGGGGATGATGGGTACGGTAGTATTAGCAGCTAGTCTTATTTTTATCCCCCTTCCCAAATTCCCTTATAAAACAAATTCACGGGGTGGGGAAAAAAAGGATAAAAATACTGCAAAAACTATCCCAAACTTCTCCTGCTCGCTTCCTCCTCCTCCTCCTCCTCCCCCCCACCTTCTTCCCAGCCCCGCCCCTCCGGAAAGGGCTCCGAAAGCGCGGTCGAGCCTTTTGCGCGTCACTTCCGGCGCGGTCGAGCGTTTCGCGCGTCACTTCTTCCTGCTGCGCGGCTTCTGCGGTTGCCATAGGAACGGCTCCCTCGCTCCCGCCCCGCCCCGTTTCGGACTTTCCGAGGCTTTTCTTGGGCGGCGGGGGCGTCTTCGGCAGGTGGGAATCGAGTGGGGGGGGGAGGGGGGGCAGTTATTTCTTTTATTGCAACTGTTAGGGTTGTTTTCGTGGTCGGTAGGGAGGAGGGGGGGTCACTTTTGGGAAGGGTTGAGGCAATAGCCTGGTGGGTGGAGCCTCCATGTTCAGGAGCAGTCTATCGTCTCTCGTTTTTTTTTTCTTTTAATTTTTTTTTCTTTTTGTTTTGTTTTTTGGACAATGCATTTCGGGGGCTGCCTGGCTGGAGAGGAGAGCCAAAGCCTACTGAGCTCAACACGGGCCACCGGTGGAAGAAAAAAAAATTGACATTTTTTAAAAAAAACAAAAAAACAAAAAACGAGGGGGGGAGGGGCGGAAGTCTGAAAGCTAGGCAAGGCATTGCGTGTTTATTCAAAAAAAAAGGAAGGAGGGAGGGAGGGAAGGAAAGAAATAAAGGAATAAAGAAGGGGATAAGGGAGGGAGGAAAGAAAAGAGATGGGACAGAGAGAGCGAGAGAGGGAAGGAGAAAGAAAGGAAGAAAGAGAAGGAAGGAAATAAAGAAGGAGGGAATGAGGGAGGGAAAGAAGGAAGGGAAGAGAAAGGAAAGGAAGGAAAGGAAGAAAAGAAAAAGAAAAGGAAGGAAAAATAGAAGGAGATGAGGAAACGAGGGAGGGAAAGAAAGAAAAGGAAGGAAAGAAAGAAAAAAGAAAAGGAAAAGAAGGAAAAATAGAAAGAAGGAGATGAGGGAACAAGGGAGGGAGGGAAAGAAGGAAGGAAAGAGAAAGAAGGAAGGAAAGAGAAAAAGGAAGGAAGGTAGAAAGAGAAGGAATAAGGGAGGAGGGAACAAGGAAGGGAGGGAAAGAAGGAAGGGAAGAGTGAGAGAAAGAAAAAGGAAGGAAAGAAAGAGAAGGATGGAAGGAAGAAAGAAAAAGAAAGAGAGAAAGAGAGAAAGAAAGAAAGAAAACAAGAGAAAGGCAACAAGACTTAAAGTAACTTTATTATCACTTTAAATGTACACTTAATCGGCATACATTAAAATGAAATTTCATCGCATGCAGCTCTCCAAGGGTCACCACCTCCAATATACCCTACATAAACATGACCAACAAACGAAATAAATAAATTAAAAAAACAACAACATGAAGACGCAGCAGAAAAGAAACCGGGACCTAGTCATGCCAGGCTGGTGGGCAAAGGGGCCAAAGCTCTTAGTGCCCACCTCCCTTGGCAAGATGCAGTTTGGGACAGTGACTTCAGACTTCCCCCAATGATCAGGAGATTACATCACAAACTAAGCAAATTAGGGGGGTTTTTTGGGGGGGCTGGCTGCCCCAGTTCCCCACCCCAGCAAAGCCCTTGGCATTTTAAAAATCCATCGGTAGCTTTCGCACCCAGGTTACTGAGGTGTTCCATTTTTTCTGAGATCTTCCAATTGAGAAACGGTAAAAGTAGCAAGAAAATGTGGAGTTTGGACGAGAGCAGTAGTTCCAATATCACTACTACGACTTCGAACTCCGAGGTATTTCCGGCGGCCGAGCGTCCAGATTTCTCACCATTCCAGGTTGAAACGTTGGGAAAAAATTCCTTTTTCCCCCTTTAATTATTCTCTTGACCATCTGCTTGCTACTCTGGATTAAAATTACTCCCAAAGGAACTGACATTGCAGAGGGGAGAAATACAGATAGTCGCCCTGACTTACGACGGTTCATTTAGTGACCGAAGTTCCAGGGGCACTGAAAAACGTGACTTACAGCCATTTTTCAAAGTTACATCCTCTGCAGCTTCCTCCATGATCACGTGATCAAAATTTTGATGCTTAACAACCGACTCATATTTATGACGGTTGCAGTGTCACACGATCCCCCTTTTGCGACCTGACGAGCAAAGTCGATGGGGAAGCCAGATTCACTTAACAACCGGGGTTGCTAACTTGTCAACTGCGCTGCTTCACTTAACAACGGTGGCAAGAAAAGTCGTAAAATGGAGCCAAAAAAACCCCTCCCTTAACCAATGTCTCACTTAACAACAGAAATTTGGGGGCCGTTAAGTCGAAAGGCGGCCTATACGTGCTGGTTGCCAAGCACCTGAATTTAGTAGAAGATCATGTGACTTGTTTGGTTGTAAATGCAAGGAGCAGTCATAAATAACTTTGGGGGGCATTGTAACTTTGAACAGCTGTTAAATGAATCTGTAAATCAAGAGTAATTTGACGTAAGTTAATTTGACGTAACTTGATTGTAAGTTGCGTAACGGGGTAAGCTCCTGTTACTTGTCCCAGCTTCTGCCAACCTAGCAGTTCGAAAGCACATAAAAAACGCAAGTAGAAAAAACAGGGACCACCTTTGGTGGGAAGGGAACAGTGTTCCGTGCGCCTTTGGCGTTGAGTCATGCCGGCCACATGACCACGGAGACGTCTTCGGACAGCGCTGGCTCTTCGGCTTTGAAACGGAGATGAGCACTATCCCCTCGAGTCGGGAACGATTAGCACCGTGATGGCGAAACTATGGCATGCATGCAACAGGTGGCACACGGAGTCATATCAGTGGGCACGCAAGCATTGCCCTAGCTCAGCTGCAGCGCACATGCGCGCACAAGCCAACTGATTTTCGGGCCTTCCAGGGCCACCAGAAGTTGGCAAATGAGCCGTTTCCGGCTTCTGGAGGGCCTCCAGGGGCATGGGGAAGGCAGTTTTCGCCCTCCCCAGACTCCTAGAAAGGCTCTGGAGCCTGGGGAAGCCGAAAAACGGGACTACCGGGCCCACCATGCCATCGCGTGCCAAAAATGGGAGGAGCACGGGGGGGGTCGCACATGCATGCATGGTGGGGGTGGAGCGCATTGAATTGTGGGTGTGGCATGTGCATGTGCGACCCTCCGCACTCCCCCCCCCGCTTTTGGCACGCGACAGCAAAAAGATTAGCCATCACTGGACTAGCACATACGTACATGCGAGGGGAACCTTTCGCTTTTTAAGTCAAGGAGTGCTTGTAAGGGCGTTCTTGATTTGCTGTACAGCCCTTGGCCTGTTTTCCTGTCTCCATACAGGACATGTCCCTGTCGTGCTTCTTTAACCCTCTTCATGGCTGCTTGCTCCACGCGGACGGCCACGGGGAAGTGTGGACGGACTGGAACAGCACCTCCAAGTTCTTCCAGTATGGCTGGAGGTGCACCACCAACGAGGACATGTATGCCAACAAGACCCTCTTGGGAAACTGGAACGAGGAGCGTTACGACATCCAGAAAAGGAGGCAACTCAAACCTCTCCCTTCCCAGGTCAGGCTGTCCGTCCTTGGGACGGGATTTTGCTCGCTAGGTCGCCACAAAAAAGGGCCGTTGCTAACGATCAAGGTAGCATTTGGGGCTTCTTATAATTATGGAGTCCTCATAGGGATGCGGTGGCTCAGTGGCTAAGAGTCCCTTCGGGGAGAAGGGCGGGATATAAATTCAATAAATAATAATAATAATAATAAGACGCCGAGCTTGTCGATCGAAAGGTCAGCGGTTCGAATCAAGTGAAATCCAGCAGGTTCTGGCGAACCGGTAGCGGAAATTTTGAGCAGTTCAGAGAACTGGCAAATGCCACCTCTGGCTGGCCCCAGAGTGGGGTGGGAGTGGAGATTTTGCAATATCCTTCCCCTGGAGTGG